TTTGGTTTATTCAATGAATGTTAAGATATAAAGAAGGTAAATGAGGGACATAATGCATATCTATGATAAATAATTTCAACTAATACATTCAATGCATATTAAGAGAATATGAAGAAATGATGGTATTCGTTGGATTTTCAGTTTAGATTAAAAGGGTACATGAATAAACTATTTTAATTGACTTGCTCAACTATTTAAATTGTTTTCACATACTGATTTTTATTTCATTTGAATTAAAAGTTGATTCCACATAAACAATTTGTATTAATTATTTTTATACATTATGCCCTTGTTTGAGCCCCCATTATGAGGGGGAAAATGAATTTTTGAATAGTGTATTGATGAGAAATGTTTGATTAAAAAATAAGAAATTTTTTTAAATTTGCATGTAATATTATTTTATTGAAGAATGTGTGGTTGAAATAATATCAAAATACTATAAATTTTTTTTCTTTTTTTCCAAAAAATGGGGATCAAACAAGTCCTATCACACCTATAAAGCATTTTCAGAATAACGTGCCACACACATTCAACTATAACTAGTATTGGCAAGCCTATAGTCTGAAATCTTAATTGATGTATTACATTTTGCAATGACAATAGGAAAGCCCATTGGAGAACATTTTCGTCGTTGTGCTAGACGAGATGAGAAGATAAGATGAAAAAAGAGAGTCAAACAGAGTCGAGTACTGATCAAGAGAGCATCTAGTTAAAATTGACTTATAATAGTTAAATCAAAATAATCAGAAAATCAAAGTGCAGTGCACGCGGGCATTAAAGGTTCCACAAATTTCGCCAAACCCATTATTTTTATCTAATAATGCTGTCTAATTATATTAAGCACTTAATAATTATCATCCATAATTACAAGGATAATATTGGTATCTCTAAGTTCTTCTCCTAGTTATAGGGTTCTACTTATTTGAAAAATAGAGGACTAAAATGCAATAAATTAAAAGTTTAAGGGTGAAAATAATGGTGAAAAGGAAAAAAAAATTAAAAAAGTTGGTGTGTTTGGATGATTACTTTAGGCTTTACCCCACATAATAATTAATTAATGCATTTTTTAATAAAGAATGTTTGTGTTGAATGATAGCCCACTATAAAAGAAGCCCTCATTTTGGACCCAAAGTCCCTATTCACATCACTCTTATCAATAGCAGGTGTCATTGCCTATTATTTTGAATTATATATAGCGTTGCTCATCTGACCTTTTAAAGTGGAGTTATTGACTGGCTATTCCAGAACGAAAATACCCAACTAAAGATTATTAGAAAGAAACATGTATCCAGCCCTTGAATTCTTTCCATCAATGAAGTCAATGCGATAACAAAATTTTATGATTATAAAGAAATATAGACGTACGGCCCGAGTTAATAAACTTCAAAAAAATCCATTTCATAACAAGGTGCAGAATTAGATTCATGCTTAGAGAAAAACACGAAGAAGAAAAGACTTAATTTTCTCAGTATTTAATCCTTTTTATAGTTCATCTCTCAGATCGAGCGTGATAAAGTTCGTCAACTATCTTGTTAAATTAAATAGAAGGAGAATCCATGATAGTTTCAATAATTCAAAGAACATGATCCCAAGAAAGAATTTAGAGTTTGGCATGTTACTAAAGCAAGACAAAACCATAGAAGCATACAAAAGAAAGATTTGTAGGCACATTCTTATAGGGATTAGCATATATTCCAAATTATGAATCTTTGTAGAGTTTGCATATGATTTACTGACATGCCTTGAAATTAATAAGAAAAGGGCTTTCCTCTGCAGTCTTTTCATTTTATTGTTTTTTTTTTAAAAAATTCAAATTGCATGAAAATCATCAGAGGAGACATTTTTCAAAGATGGAAAGGAATAAAGAAAAGCGAAGAGGTGTCATTGCTTTTCTTTCCTTTCCTTTTCTTATATGCTGAAGGTGAAAAAAGTCGATTATTTTTTGCTTCTTTTCAGCTAAAATTGCTTTCGACTAGCTTAGTAGCTTATTTCTGTTCGATTTATTAATAGACCGACACTTTCACGTCTTTACAACGAATGAAAGGGCCCAATAAGTACTCTCCAGGCTGGGTTACTTTATGCCCCGAGGTTAAGCCCATATCTTGTCACTGCTTACACTATGTGCTAAACTTTGTATTAAATATACTTCCTTTTGTTTATATTTCCAAAATTCTCCAACGAAAAACACCAATCACCATCGGACCACCACATCCAAAGCACTGTTTTTCTTCCTCAAAACACTTTCGAGCAGCTCCAACCACAAGAATCATTGCTAAGGCCGACCATAATCTCCGACCCAATCAAAACACGTATGTGTATCCCAACTACACTTTCATAACCTTGCGATTATATTGATATTCCAATTTCTCTTAAACAAGTCACAAAGTAACATATAAACTCGTCTCCTTTTAGAGCCAAAAAGTATTATAGCATGTTGTCGTATTGAAATAGAATTTTATACTAATGTAAGAACTAGCATGAAAGTCAATTTATCACAACTGGAATGGTTGTTTGTATTCCATTTTCTTCTTCTTTGCTTTAGAAAGGACTTGCTGAGTTAATTACGAAATCTCAAATCAATATCCACATTAATGAAATTAAAGTGTCTTTCTCATTTACATTCGCATCTCCTTTCCTACTTTGAATTGTTATTTTAAATTTTCAAACCATCATACTTGTTCAGACCAAAAATTTCATAGCCTAAAACAAAAGGAAATGGATAATTTGAGTGAAAATGCTGTTGGAAACAAAAAAATCTTCATAGATTATATTCATTTCATTGAAGTATTTAGCAAAAACCCCTTATTTTAGCAAATCGTCATCTAAAGAATCACATTATATTTCCACTTCATTCTTTGTGCTTAATAGTACTTGTCCGTGCTCGACTTTGGTAAGATGGTTCGAACAACACTCGAAAATATAAAAGAAAAGGAATTTAAAATCTTGTTAATTGTGATGTTGAGTCTTATTCAATACTGCATACCAAACATGCCTTTTAAGATGAAGGTTCACAAGCTGAACCATCTGCCTGTTTATTCTCATTGGAAAGAATTTTGGCAGATTGAACTAACTTGCCATAGCATGATCTCTCTTTGCCATTGATGGGAGCCTTTCAGCTGCCTCAGCATACAACTGAACTTCCCATCACCTGAATGGCCCTTTTCTTCTCCAGGATCCAGGTTGGCCCAACTGCAGTGCACTCCGAGCTGAAGAATCAAGATTTTGCAATGCTTCTTTGTTTGCAATGGCTACCTCGAGCTTTCCGAGCCAGGTTTACCTTCTTTGTGATCTCTTCCTTCCATCTATCAATTTCTTGCTAAATAGCATTTGAGAACTTTTCGAGCAACGGATTGGAGTTGGAGGGATCCTTCAGCATAAAATTTGGGTCAGTCCCTTTGTTTTCTCCCTGAATTGCACCTACAGAATCTCGAGCCTGCATGCCGGAAAATCTCTTCAAATCTCCATGTAAACATCTTTAATAACAGCCATGGCTAAAGCTGGCGCTTTGAGCAAATTGTAAACAACTCATTGAATTTGTAAAAGAGTCGGTTTGATCCTCTTAACTTGATTTCTTGAAACCGAAAAATCTATGAATCGGGATCTTGATGCATTTCCAGGAACACTTGGAACGAGGCAAGAAGTCAATAAAAACCAGTGTCAGGAATGACCCAGATTAAGATACTACAGTCCAATCTTCGCTGGAAACTATAGAGTATTCGATTGGAAATTCGAACCTTCGCTCGTTCTGACTAGTGCAGTTACATTAAGTGACTTGCCTGAGAATTAATGCTGGAGATATTTTCGTCAACTTCTCTTACCACATTTTCAGTTTTATTGCATAATTTTAATTTCCTAGTCTGAAAAAAGATTAGTTTTTGAAGAAATGGCAAACAGTGAAATATTGAACAGAAAGACCATTGGACCACATTAAGGCAGATCAGAACTGTGCAAACTGCATGCATAACTTCCATGTAAATTCAATTTTAGTTTCATCTATCGGGACTCTTCTCAAACTCTAGGACTTCTCTGGTTGACGTCTTGGACATATCAAGTCAGAAATGAGTATGACCCACAATACAGCAATTTATCAGTAAATTCGTGTTGCTAGTAATCCAAGCTGGGAAATCAACTCTTCTGTGACCAGGGAGAAAAATTTACCTCTAGACCTCCTCCTATCAAAATTGCCCAAATGTGCTATTAACAAGTAGGTTAATTTTCTTTTCTCAGTGGTCATTTTGCTATTTCAATGTTGGAAATAAGGTTGGGTTTGAGCTCTAAGTCAAGCTGGATTTTTACTGATTTCATTCATTGCATGTTAGTACAGAGTGAACTTTTTCTTTCTTGATACTGCTCAGTGTTATCTAAGTTCTATGTTCATCACTGCAGCTAGCTCAATTCGCGTTCAGATTAAGTTAGCTCTTTCGATTGTTTGATCAGGATATTGCAGGGTTCCTGCTCGTTATCTTCTTGAATCTATTCAAATTCGAGACTGTTCTGCAATCGTTTGTTTAATAAGTATTCCACAACAAATCTTTGAAACAGGGATTTCATAATCAGCTGGGAAATTGGCCGCGATAATCAGCACTACTGGAAACGGATTCTTTGGACCTTTCAGAGTATTCTTAATTCTACTTCGTTACAATCATTTTTTGAAATCTCCATGCCACTGGAGAACGACTCTTCTAGGATCAAGGCCTCATGGTCTTCCGTATTTCTCTGTTTCTTTCGAAGGTATCAGTCGAGATTCAAAGATTATCATGTACAATTTTTAATCAACCAGGCATCCGAATTTTAAAGAAGAACGACAATTTCTTCCGCTTTTAGACACCAAATTCTAGGTCTTTTTGTCAAAATTTAAATTTTTATCTACAACGAACTTATATAGTTATAAGCGAAATTTTTAAGCTTGGCTAAACACTATCCAAAATTAAATTTGTACAGGGTTAAATTCCCTGATGAAATGCAAGATAAATAAAAGGATAGAACAAACTGCCCAAAAATTAAAAATGACTACAAAATCCACTAAAATCAAATGGTGTATAGGGTCAAAAATCTAAGTTTCCGTATATTTATTGGCGAAGGAAGGAGTTCAATTACATCATAGAAAACCACTCGACAAGAAGCCCCAAATTACAACATTTGCCTAGTAGTTTCAAACACAACCAAGTTTCGTTTCTGGCACAAAGGCTCTGTAGCGGAGAGGAGATGTTGAAGATCTCTCAGAGATCAAATTTGATCCAATTAGTTTTTCCAGCACAAGGATTCTGAAGATGACAACCCTCGATTGCTGTGTAATGCCAAATATACACTTCAAATTTTCATTGGCTGCTCAATATCACAAGTCAGTGTTTCGCGAAAATGATGGCAGAGGCATGGCGTCTTGTGGGCGCAGGATGACAAGAACCCCAAACATTCCCAGCATTGGAAAGACTAGAAGCCATTTTAACAGCTTGTAATAATACATATGAAAGGTAAGGGAGAAGTCGTCTGAAAAATAGAGTCCATTCTTGTCAACCATCTCTACTAGAACAGTCCCGGCAGTCCTAACTCCTACAGTTGGAAGTTTAACACGATGTATTCCAGAACGATCAAAGACTTGATTTTGCTTAATCGTTCTCTCTCCTTGGTAATTGCCGGGAACCAACAAACTTATCTATGTTTTCATTAAGACAGAAGATAATATCAGGAAATTGTACAATATTTTTCCCACTTTTATTTGCCTAGATATGCAAAGAATCAAGGCCCTGCAGATGCTTCTTACCGTGACATTATAAGGTGCTTGGGAGCCAGATGGAAACCTGTATCTGTCTACAATTTCTAATTCGACCCAAAAACTCTTGCCTTCTTCATCACGGAAAGTTCTTGATGATGGCGTAACATAGATTCCTTCATGGCCATAGCGCTGTGCAACGTTGTTTCTGCCCTGATTCGGTGATCTCCATGCCTGGAAATTCACATGGGGCGTTAATAATTATGTCGAGTTGGCAAATAAATAAAAAGGGATTTAACTGAGTCATATCCTGCCTTGAGTGGATGATGTGGAGAAGGAGTAGAAAAACAGAAGACATTGCCATTCATGGTTGTCACTATAAGATCAAGATCATCTCCACCGTCGACATTGTCGGCCAGAACCATGCTATATCTGATTAAAAAAGACATAAAATATTGTGAAGTAAGAAGGTTAGTCATAAGAATGACTTATAATTACACGAACTTTAAATTATCTTACGATGTTTCTCCAATATCCACAACATCAGCACACGATGTGGGTCCATCAATTAGATATAAGTAACCATCAAATGATGTAGTAACAATTGTTAGTCCCTTATTTTTCTCCCCGCGTCTGCTCAAGTCAACTAGAAGAACTTGATTCATCACTCTACCATGAGTTCTATACGGATAGGGCCGTACCATCGACCCATCCTTGCCACTCAGAACATATATATTTCCAGATATTGTTGGAACGACAACATCAGTATGACCATCCCCATCCACGTCACCTATCGTGGCACCCTGAGAAAAAATAATAATTCTCCTGTCATACACAAACATTATATCTAGTTTGAATTTACCGTATTTAGGAGTCAAGAAATTGTGACTTGCCTGTGGAACAAGGCTCTTAACATGTGCTTCCCAAATTTCTTTTCCTTGTGGAGTCCAAGCTGCAACATTTCCATGTGTATCAGTAGTCACCAGTTCAATCTTGCCATCATCATTGATATCGGCTGCAACTACTGCCCCTTGAATTTCAGACATCTCAAGTGGAAATTTCTCTCTCACGTGTCCTGAATCAGTATAAGGTACTGTAAGGCTAATAAACAAGCCAATAAGGATGCATACTAGAAGTAATAAGAATAAAAATTATGAGAACACATCTTAAGATGATCTGAGCGAGAATGATACCAATTAATGACTACACAGTTTTTCTAGAATAGTGATTTCTCGACCTAAACATTCCAGTATATTCATTCTTATTTAGAACTCTCCTCAGCATGGGTCAAATCAAGACTTCAAACAGATTGAAATACTGCTTTCTATTGTATCATTTTACAGTTCCATGAAAATGTATATTTCAAGAGAATTGAACCATGTAGACACCCATAAATTTAACAATGAAATAGTGTCTCAGATTTGTAATGTATGATGCTGTTCATCTGCCCACACTCCGAATGCAAAAATAAAATAAAATAAAAAACAGATATAGTACAGTCCAGTTGTAAAATTGTAGGAAAATCAATTTCTCGCAAATTTATGAAAGTCCTGGTTACAGAATTGTACAGACGAGAACACGCACCCTTGTGGTCCAATACATAAAACAAACCATAAGAAGTTCCAACCAGGATGTCCAAATTCCCATCACCATCCAAATCAACAACTGTTGGAGATGAATATATGTAGGCACGGAAGCTTCCAGTATCTGTACTCAGATCCAGTTGTGCAGTCCATTTAACTTGCTTTGTGTCAAGATTGAAGACAACAATACCACCAGCAACATATTTTCCAATCTCAATGCCACCAAGTTCCTTCAAACGCTCTGGATTGTCATAATACCTGTGAACCTACATTAATCGGCTGAATTGCATGCAGGCCACTTCTAGTGGATGGCAAACGTTCAGAAAAATAAAACATAATGCAAGATGCTAGAGTTTATCTTATTTATTTCCTCGGTATTAACAAGAAGCCAAAGCATTCCACAAATTATATATTTACAGAAGTGATGAAATGTCTAAAAGAAAAAAACATATGGTGAAGGTTGCAGGATTGAGATTTTAGCACATGTATTGAATTACGACACTTACTCATGGTCAAAGAAGTAAGAAACTCCAACAATCATCTCTGACACCCCATCATTGTCTATGTCTGCTATAACCTAAAAAGAAGAAAGACTATATCAAATTTGATGATAAAATACATTAAAAAACCTTATGCTTGGAGGTCTCAAAGGCAGAAAAGACTGGAATTATTACAATCCCTATAGGCAAGAAAGCTGGAGCCACATATACTACTATACTTACAGGAGTGCACAAAACATGTGCATCTATATGCACAAAATCTTCTAATTTCTCATGTTGTGCTTCAGTCCATTCCTCATCTCCCCACAAGGTTTCGTCAACATAATCATCATAATCATAGTTATACTCATCAGCCAACTCTTCACTATCCCGGAATAACTCAAATGATGAATCAGCATCCGCTTCCAAGCCTCCCTCATTTTCAACAGTAGCAGCATGAACATCTTCAGCGTCATTACCTTTGGATCCAGAATCAGATACACTTTCTTCAAGAAGCCTTCTCCTTGTGTTTGAATCAGAAGATGTATTGCTACTAATGTTCTGTGGCATATTGATCTCTGCATTTGCTTGACTAACGTCCTTTTTTCCTGGATTCCCCAGATTAGATGCATTCTGTACATCATGTTGAACATCGGTTGTAGAAATTGTGTTATTAGATGCATCATGACGAACTTCAGGTGTAGGAGTCGATGTGTTCAATGAATTGTGGACTTCTGGTGTAAAGGAGATTGAACTCTTTGCTGCAAGCGTACTTCCATTGCGTTCTAAAACATAATTTTGAATTTTAGACGTGTAAGAATAAAGATAAACTTGAAAAGCAACAGTCAAGCATTCCATAAGCCCAGTTACCACTGGAAACAAATTAGATATACCTCAAATGCTCTGAAGAAAAAGCCTACAGCAAAATCACTGAAATAAATATATTCATGATAATATTTTACATACAATCTTATCCTGCTCAATGCAAACAATATTCTCACCTGAGATGGGGGTGATTGATGACAAACAGGAAAATTTCTAGTGGACAACAGCAAATTCCATTTACTCATGAAATATTGAATGCTCACAAGATGCAAAGTCTCCAGGATATGAGTCAGTGAGGCCATAGTCTAAGTAGATCCAGGCCTCCATCCTAGAACATCTTCAAATTTTCATTTGAATCTAACATTGAATTTTTTTATTTTTTTATTTTTTATTTTTCTATTTGTCTATCCTTTTTAATAGCTTATTAGCTGAACTATTTGATGTTACTTTAGCAAAATTGCCACAAAGTTTGAACTTTACCAGGCACTCTATTGGAAAATGAATCCTTTTCAAAAGGATACACAGTAAATTTTATCCATAATTGCAAAAAATATAAGGTGATTATAAAAGGAATTAGTTTTCTAAAAAGTTAAGTCAGAAGAGAACGGTGAAAAAAGGCAGCCTTTCTGTATGAAAAGAGATACGGAGGGAGAAGGAATTAAATGGGATCATCCCTTAATAAGCATGTAGAAATTATAAAAGGATAATAATAATAAATGCAATTAATATAAAATTTAAAAAGTGAGAATGGAGATCAAATTAATAAATCCAAGCAAGGAAAAAAGATTGATAGTTTCTGATAATAAATAGAGTCCCTCACATACAGTGGGTCCTTGAATCTTCCATCCCTTGATGGATCAGATGTAAAACATTACAGTCTAGGATGAGAGATCAAGCAGTTAAATTCTCAATGATCAGGACATTTTATGCAATACGTCAATATTCCTCATCTTGAATAAATGAAATGATATTCAATTCATACAGGACCGAGGGCATTTACAAATTTTTGCACTGGCATGCTATCAATTGAAGAAGGTTTTGCATGTGCATCATGTCAGGAAAACTTTGGGGAGACCATGCTGCATTTGAGTATGGAAAGTACAATTTTGAGATGCTTCAGCAAGCTTGCTCGACATATTCAATGAAATTGAAGGAAATAAGAAATGAAAGAAGAGAAACAAAGCATCAGCAGCAAATTGCATTATCATACCACTTGCAAATTAACAAACAGAAATAACCATTTTGTTTAAGTACCAATAATAAACTTACGAGTCATTGACTCCATAAGAGCCTCTTGGATCAACTGATCATCATGAACATCTGGATGGGAACGATCTACAGGGTCTGGATGCAATCCCACATACCAATCCTTTTTCACTTTCAACCTAGAAATCTCTAGTTTATCTGACATCAAGTAACCTGACACCCTATTCCCACAGATACAATGAATCAAGGCAGGATATTTACAATACTGCTGCCACACAACATTTTGAATAAATAGTAAACTGTTACCTGAAAAAGAGGACTTCACCATTGTAGGTAGCTAAACCTATTTCTCTCACACCATCCTTGTCAATATCATATAGGAGGGGACTAGAATGAACAGTCGACTGATGAAAGGCAGGCCATCCTGATAAATTATGTAACAACCCGTAGAAATATCAAATCATCAGGAGGATACCAGCCAAAATAATCCTAGTGTAATACAGATTGTTTTTTCCCCCCTCTATTGTTTCACTAGAAAACAATGCAATTAGCAAAGTAGTCCTCCATAGACAATACAAAAAATTCAAAGTATTTACTTTAACAAAGTGAATCTGAGAAATAAATCTCTATCCAACCTTCATTTCAACATTGCAAGTAAAGGTATACCTGGCAATTTATCTCCATCAGAACCTTCTAGGACTTCCAAGTAATGCACGAAAGAAGGAACGACTACCTCAAGCTTTCCATCACTTGGGCATGAATTGAAAAGTTCTTAATGAGAATAAATTGATGAAGTTAAAGATAACAAAAAAGGCGACAATAAGTAAATATAAACATTGATCACACTGTTATTAAAGGAAATTTTTATCAAAACTCACCGATTAAAGGAAATAACAGCTTGTGTAGGAAAAGGAGACTTTGTTAATACATAGTTTACTTACTTTGTTAATACATAGTTTACTTAGTGCCTTTTGGCATGACTTTTATTTTACTTTTGCTTTTGCTTCATGTATAAGGACTTCTGGAGAAAGCTACCTTAGTTTTAGTTTTTAAACTAATAATTTTTAAAAGAGCTTCATATCCCGAAAATACTTTTAGAATGAGCAACATTAGACCATCTTCCTCTAAAAACTCTTCTAAATAGAAGAAACACTTTCATAAAATTAGCCAAACGAGTCCAAAGGCAGCTTTTGGGTCTCCAAAGCTCCTTTTTTACTTTTCAAAAGCCACACCAAGTGAGCACTTATTACTGAACATATATCTATAACTTTATTTGATTAAGTTTCACATAACAAGTTCTTTAGAAAAATATCGCAAAGATAAAAGTCATAAACAGAACGAAATAAAAGCAGTTCCGTCTAGGAAAACTGTAAGCAGACAGCTTTCCTTTTACCTGTTGATATCGGCAATTAAAGGCGATGCATATATGCTAGAACTCACTTCAGTCTGCCATCTTAATTCCAAATGCCGAGGGCATTGCGAATTCAACAGGTCATCCTCATCGCTAAGCACACCAAACCACAAAATTATAAACATTAACAAATAACACAGCTCACAAGTCACAATTGCACCCATTTATTAAACCTATTAAAGACGCTCGTAGAAATATAACAGTATCATTCATCACCAGCTGTTGACTAAAACACACTTACATCCCCTCATAATGAATTTTCGTTTTCCAAATAATAATACATTCAATCAAATAAACACAAAAGACTAATGTGTCATTAACATTTATCAGATGAATTAAACAAGAATTGTGCAAATAGTTGTCAAATCTAAACAGATTAGACGTACACATTGGGGTAACCAAGTGCATCATCAGTTGCCTCACGCTCGCGAAACTTGTTCTTCTGCTGTTCATCCGATTGCGAAACGCCATAATTGAAAGTTAAAGACAATAAATTTAACACAACAAAACAGAGAAATAGAAATTTCCAAGTTTTCATGAATGATAACTGTTTCCCCAAAAAATCGAAAATGATATTTAGAAATTGGCCCAATACAATATCGTCAAAACCCTACTGAAGGGTTCTAAGGATCTAAGGGAAAGAAAAGAGGAAGAAGAAATTTTTGGAGCTGATTTCTTCTATTTTGGGGTCTGCAGGAGAGCTGAATTCACAACACTGAGGTTTTCCCCCATTTTTTGGTCAGTTACAAGATTTATATTCACACCCTCCAAGTCCTCCGTATTTATATTTGTGCCCTTCCATTATGAAGTCTGTAAATTGTGCTCCTTTTAGTTTATTGCCATAAAATAATTGCAATATATGTTCCAAACCTATAACTTGACCTCGATTCTAATGTCATTCGGAAGGGTCAAATTGATCTTCTTTAGAAGGGTTTTAGGTGAAAAAACGTAAGAACGATCAACTATAATTACATATATACAAGTGCCATACCAAATTTGCCAAATGCCTATCGTATTTTCTTATATTCCTGATACTTGATAGTCCAGTCCATTTATGTCCTAATGGCATGTTTCGACCCTCTCGCCTAAGACATAGATGACAACAAACAGGGCAACTGGAAACCTTTCCCATTTCCTACTAAAAATGTTGATCAAAATGGAGATCATGTTCTGCATCCCCACCCCAATCCGTGGCAGGACAAAATATTTTGTTATTCATATTCTTCACCATTTTAATATTTTGGGAAAAAAGCCACCAATTTGAGTTCAAAATACTATCACCACCACCCCGACAATTAGACATCCAACCCACAATTGCAACGTGGTTGGTATCCGCAATGGACTCCATCGAAGCCATAAGCTGTGAACATTAGGGATGAAGATGCAACTATCCCCTTTATTTCCAAATCGTTAGAAAGATGCAGAGTCACCAAAACAAGAAAGTTTTAAAACTTTTGTTACATGCAAGTGAAAAAGAGTCATTTTTGTTTATTAAAGTATATATCTATTGGCAAAGACGATTAAAGGAATTTGTTTCTAACTAGAGACGAAGGCAGACATTACGAGGTATCACAGCAATGGTACAAGCCTAAAAGAGCATGTAATGAACAAAAATGGCGAGCGAGAAGAAAAGTGGCCACTCCCCTCTTCATGCGATTACATTTACACAATATCATTGCACCAACAAGAGACTGCAACACTAAATAAAGGATCCCATTCATCTATATTCACATCATGAAAATTGCTATAGAACTCGATTCTGTCCTATTGAAGCTATCTATTAGATAAAAAACTAGTACTTAATACTAATACACATGGTGACTCTACTTCTAATTCCTATAATTCTTGAATACACTAGAAATGAACGGGGGGCTGATACAGAATATAACTTAAGTGAGCAAACAGAATCATGCAACAAGACACTATCGCACTCGTCACCAACTTACAACTTGCAAATTATCTACATAATCCTCTTATATTCTCATGTGTAGGCCATGCAGATTCTTTAGGCGAGACGTCTTTCACTTATGAGAAATCAATCACCTACGGCGTGATGTGTTAATGTGTTGGTGGGCTTTGCTCTCGTTCTGTATCCTATCTGCATACATTGGTAGGCGAATGATCTCATTTATTTCGTTCAAAAGGACCTCCTCTGTGATATTGTCCTTTATACTTCTCATTACCTGTTTTGGGTTGAACAAAGTCAGCCATTTATTACATTAGCAGGTAGTAATGATATGCACTAGTGTAGGAACATCAATGAGAGATGGGATGTACCTTCTTGTAGGTGTTAAACTCATTTGGAGTCCCTTTATCTGGCCTGATTCGCATGCATACCCATACATCTTCGTTCTGATCCCAAGAACACTCAACTATCTTCCCCGAGTATGATGCAGGATCAGACCCATCTGCAAAATCATATAAAACAAGCACGGAAATAAATGACAGAAAATATTATCTAGTCCGAGTACATAGAGCCATTCTGGTGTGCCTCATGAACCTCCAAATCGCTGCTACTACTTAATTGCATGTATTATAACTGAGGATGTTATCTAATAAGAAACTATATGCACTGAATTCTCCTAATTAGCATCAATTAAATGCAGCAGAAGCTTTTCGTGATTGAGCAACTACAGTAGAAAGAAATCAAGAATTAATAACACTGCAAAACATATACACACACAAGTAGAAGGCTAGAAGCTGAATCCTTTACGTGCACCAACTTTTAGTTGCAGCAGAATTTAAGCTTCATGTTATAACACAGTGATAGACATACATAAATGGTAACCTTGCTAAAGCCTTCTGAGCTATCAGATTTCCAGATGATGCATAATTTGTTTCAGGGATACTTCAGAGAGTATGCCAAAAATGAAACTGAAACTATTATTACAGGGGAACTCCCACTGTACTACCTATATAAATGATGAGCAGTGAAGGCAGGGGTGCAAGTTAAAACTATTACCAATTAACCCAGGTTTCACACATCTCCGAACATCCAGGATAAAGAAGCATTTATAACATGACGGCCAAAGTTCTGAATCTCAATACGTCAATTGAAGATTGATACAGAAATTAGAGATATTAATGTACCGGTATAACGTCATGAAAACCTATAAACCAACCTAGGTGCCCTAATCCATATTGTATGCCTAGGGGAACGTATATATAAATTTGATGTGATGCGAAGGTCACAAGAAGTCCATGAATTTTTGACATATAATTTCAAATTTGTTGAGCCAAAGTTGTGAATGACCAATAGCCAACCAGACATGCAAATGTAAATGGGATGTGACGCAGTAAGCTAGTGATGGAGATGGAGATGGAGATGGAGATGGAGATGGAGATGGAGATGGAGATGGAGATGGAGATGGAGATGGAGATGGAGATGGAGATGGAGATGGAGATGGAGATGGAGATGGAGATGGAGATGGAGATGGAGATGGAGATGGAGATGGAGATGGAGATGGAGATGGAGATGGAGATGGAGATGGAGATGGAGATGGAGATGGAGATGGAGATAAGATAGAAAAAAGATAGGGTTCAGAAAGAATTTTAAGAGAGATTAATTCAAATTATTTTTGTTTAAATTAGATCAGGATAGTTTTAATATTTTGATAAAGTTCTAGTTTATTATGAGTACTATTAAAATTACTAGATTATTTGCTCTCTATATAAAAGGCGCCCTTGAATATATAAATAAATTGATTTCCTCTGTGCCCTAATATCTTCTATTCTTTGATCCCCTTCTTTATTTGGTTCCTTTCTCAATTGTTCGTTGTCAATGTTAGTTCTTCGTCACCTAGCCAACTTGACAAGAAACATCCACTTATGCTATTAGACCATTCTAGCAGCATCTTCCCATTATTCAATAGCTCAGCACTTTTACATCAACTACTGCTAATACATTTCAGTTAAAAGTTCTATATTCAAGTGACCTACATATCAACAAAGAGCAGTCTCTCCAGTAACAGCATATTTCAATTGGATGATTGAGAAATTCACCTTGCCCTATCAAATCAATATACAAATTAAATAGTTTTATGATTTTGAATAAAGGAGTGTTGCTAAAATGGATCTATTAATGATCACTTAAAAAGAAAACTTGCAATTGAGCATCCTATGCCAAAGTGAAAATATGAGCAACAAACAGAGTACAAAATTTCAGTAATTCATCACATAAGTGTACCTAACTACTCGTATGTGTTTACAGAGTTTGAACCCTTCTATAACTAAGGATGCATAAAAAACTTGCATAGTTCAAAAAATAAATAGGGCCCGGTTCAGAGGCTCTGGAAAAGAAGTAATTCTGAAATTTGCTCACTTTTATGTCTAACTATTAATATTATGACCTATTTGTTGGAGGAACTAGGACAGATTGTCCAAGTTTTTATTCTGAGAGTTAGACCAAAAAATGCAGAGTCGAAAGGTACATTGTGACTTTCCATACACCTTACAAGCGATGCAACAATAGCAGCATTATAATAAGGAAAAATACTAACCTGGGAAAACAACCCGACTTCCTTCCATTAGTTTTTTCTTCCCTCTTTCGTGAAGATAAAGTGACTGGCGACTGTCAACCATCTGCCAATGCACAAGGACAGAAAATTTATCCGAGACAGCAAGAAACATGACTCAAAAGTTCGTTCAAATTCAGCTATAATAGTTTTTACTGATTTGGAAAAAGCATATAGAGTTTTGTTAGATTATATCAATATTATAAAGGTGTATAATTGTGAAAGTACGGGTAGTAGTAGGGGATTTACCATGCCAAATTCTGCCAGACTTTTTATATTTTTGGTTTAGTCATAAAGGAGCTAACCAAACAGGGTCGAGTTCAGGTTCCTTTGGGGTTTGTCATTAGTAGAAGACAGATCTGGTAAATTTAAGTCTAAAAGCATGTTTGGAAGTGTTTATAAGCGATTTAAATTATAAATATATCGAAATGAGTTGTGGATGAGTGGATAATACTTGTGAGTGCTCTGTGTAGATAAAAAGTGACTTGGTATAGATAAATATGAGTCAAACATGACTATTTGGATCTAAGGAGGACAACAAAAATTTCTCTCTCATCATCAAATAGAAATAATGGTCAAGTCAAACGATGGAGTATGATTCCAAAGAGCCTGATTGTTGTAAAAACACAGGACGACTTAAAACTGATATAATGCATAGGACGAGTGAGTTGGACAAAATGAAGAAGTGCTATAGCAATTCTACGTTATCGAAAGGTACCAAGGTACCTATTAAGTTTTAAGACAAATACCATAAAATGGTTATTAGACCACCTATACTTTATGGTGCAGAGGGCTTGGTCATTAAAAACATTTTATCTACATAAAATGAATATAACATATATTAAATATATATGTGCAGGCATAATAGAATGGACAAAATAAGAAACAAAGAAATATGCTAACTAATCACAGATGGCTCCATATGCGGATAAATTAAGAGAACCGATAGACCTAAACAATGGCTAATTTACACATCAATGCGTCCTTAGTGCAACGAGCTGGAAGGAGAGAAACACCTAAATTAACACTATCTCAGATGGTTGCAGAACATTCAGTGGTATCAGACTGTTCAATTGCCGCAACATTGGATCAAAACAGAGTAGCTATTATGAACAAGGATTAACTTGTACTAATCAACCATAATAAGTAGAAAATACAAGCAAAGTCATTTTCGGGATAAAGAGAGGAAGAGAGAAATTGCATTAGCAACAACCTCAAAGAGGAAATCAACTGAATTCATTTCTGGGTATTTCCACTTCAAGAGACCCTCATGCGTTCGAGGAACATAAGGATCATCCCAACCCTGCACGCAAAAACAACGAGCAACAATTTCCATACAAATTATCGAGAAAGAAATACTAAAATTAGATAATTAACACATTCCCGAATTCATGGGTGAATAGCATGTTCAAGATATAGCACGAATTACATAAATAAAGCATATGTAAAGTAAAGAATCACAACCCAAAATATGAGCAATTAGATGTGCCACTAATTCTACATTGTCATTGCAAGCACCTGAAAAATAAGACCATCAGCAGCATGTGAAAGCTTTGGAATAAATCCCTTCAAAAGTTTTGTGACAGTAGATAGCAGCCAAAAGTCTTTCCTTCTTACCTGTGAAGCTTCCACAGATTAGAAAAGGTTCCAGCATTTCAACAACAGATGGAGGTGGAAGTGGGGACAAGAATAGGACTCATGATGTGAAAATCGCAAAACCCAAATACAACATACCCTGAATGGCTCCATGTCATATCTATAATAGGGATTTTTGCTCTGTGATATATATTGTCGTTCTATATTCCGAGGTTCAATTACTTCCTTTTCAAGCATTTTCCAACGTTCATAAAAGGGCCGCTGCAATAAAACAAGTGTTTAAAGTAAAAATGAATTTACTCAGGTAGAACCACTCAACCACAATAAAACCAACACTGTATAAAAGTGCAAATGTGGAAAAATAATAATAATAATAAAAAACATAGTAAACTAAAAAATTTCATGATTCTTGAACAAGGGAAAATGCAATAAGAGCATATAATTCATAGTGGTCTGTATCAGGAATTAAGACGGTTTACAGTTAAAAAATATAGATTCAATCAGCAGTATTATCTCCATCATTTGATACCTGGATGCAATGAATAAAAAAGTTTCTATACATAATATTACAACTTACAACTTGCATGGTGTTGTAAGATATTTCTACAGATTAAATTGTGATAAATGCTAAGATGATGTAAAATAAGGGAAGATGTCCCTTCACATAATTTCTAAACCTCTTATCGATCAAAATTCCAGATACTCAACGTCACACTGCATATAAGTATATATCTCAACCATCTCTTATGTTCCACGTGCTCATGCTAAAGCACATTTCATGTCATCTTGATTCCCAAGTGAATAACCAATTATAAAAACTAGTCTTTTTCCAGTGTTAACGATTAATAAATTCAGGCTGATTATAAGAAACTCATACTTTATCAACCCACGAAACTGAAGATGAGCAAGATCATGATATCTACCATAAAACATGGGCACACAAGCCACCAATAATGGACAACAAACATAAGGTTGATTTCCCTTCAAATTTAAAAATGCACAAACATTAGTAAGAACGACCATTGCAGAACACAGCTTATCAGTTGCTAATGATGAAAAATGAACATAAGAATGAGACACAAACACAAGATTATTACACGTAAATAAAAAACTTTTCCTTATTTTTTAACCACACATTTCTCATCAATTTACTATTCTAAAATATATTTTTACAAGAAAATGGATATCAAACACCCCCTTCATATTATTTTTGAGTTTCCTGTTCGATATTGATAGACCCCCACCTCCAATATTCCAATACAAGTTGTTATTAGTTCAATATTCTAGAGAATTCCAAAGTTAGTTAGCAAAAGGGCAGAATTATAATAACAAACTAGTAAATTCTCTATAAATGTAATGGGGGGAAAGCGGGACATCATTCAGGAAAGATTGGGAAAATTCAGGAAAAGATTGGGAAAATTCAGGAGAGACCAAGGCCTCTCGAATGCCTTAGGAAATGTTATTTCATTTACTTTATGTTCTTCATTTCATTTAAATAAACAGTACAATAATTCCTTGTTCACAATCCATCCTTCCCAACTAATTCATACGGCTTATTTCGTCAATTACATGTGCACTTTCCATTTCATAAATCAGCCACCATATTGACTACCTGATCCAGTAATCACCCACAAGACAGGTTCATCAATAGCTTCACAGGTTCAGATAGGAGCAACAACAGTATCAACTCTATTCAGCAGCAGTAGAATTCAACAGAAGCAATTAGGATCGTATTAGATATCTTCCTTCTAGAAAAGTACAGCTAAGCATTGGTTCGTTCGACAAAATTAATATTGTGCTATATTAATTATGAGAGAAGCATTGTATCTTGAGAGAATGATGTTGATTTGATCCTCTTGGCGCCAGTCTAGGAGTCGAAAATCCGTCTTTCTCTCATATCTTGCATCATTTAATTTCCTTCGTATTTTTGTGTTTTCTATGTTTGTTTAAGTCATGATTTGATTATTATCATGCATATACCATGATTTTGGTAAGTCGTTACTCTATTTGTATTTGCATGCACGTATATTTTTATTAGCGAATCTAAATTATGGACTAATTTATTACACATGCATGGGGTTGGGGGGGGGGGGAATCCTTTATCTTGAAGCTATTTCTAGTTAAAAAAAAAAAAAACAAAAACACACACACACACACAATTCTATTGCACCAAAAAGCTTGTTCTGAGACTGATCCATAGATGCAATATGACTCAAATTCATCAGAATAGAATCTTCCTAAGCTCAGTATACAATGTGTTACAGCCTAAGGAAGAACTATTAAATCGCAAGGAAACTACTAACAAATCCCAAGAGCCATACGATTAGGAAAATACTAAAGACTGCCAAAAAAAATAAAAAAATAAGGGAATGCCTAAAGACCTAAAATAAAATTGCTCACTGAATTTTCTTAAATTTGCCATTCAGAAACTAGCATCAGTATGTGTGTCATCAGATAATGAACCTGTGGTAATATTGCAGCCACTTTCTAGATGGGCAGACACAAACATTCCAAGAACAGGTTCCTTTCCTTCATTTGGAGAGAGTAATACAAAGACATGGAAGCTAACCAAATTTATTTACCACGCTTCAATAGTAGAAATGATTTTGCAGAAATAGTAAGAGCATAAAGCTAGCATACTCCATATGTGCTTACAAGCACAGAGATATGATGAATGTCTATAGAGCAACATACCTCATAAACAAATGCATTTACGGCCTCATTCTCAGGCACAGAATCACGCCCCTTGCAAGGAATCTAAATCAGAAGCAACTAATCAGGAACTCCAAAATATAAATTTGCAAATTTATGAAAACGTAATTCTTGAGTCAAGGGTATAGAAATATTCATTACCCACCTTAACATGCTTGATACCTTCTCTCTTCCAATCATTAGTCGAATAATATCTATTTGAATTTGTAAGATCGATGACCAAACCAAGCTGAAAACATTTCAGTATATAAATTAAAATCAGTATTCTGAGAGGCTCTATCAGTGTCCATCAGATAAATCAATCAGCAGAAATTATGATTCATTCACACATCACTGCATACAAATGATAATGTTACTACCATATATAAATGAATTATACATAGAATCATGATCCTGCAGCTTTCAACTGCTCAACCTTATTCAAGCAAGTTCCATAAAAAAAATTATTTTCTTAAAAGATTACATCATTCAGTGGTTCATCTTCAAGTTTTACCGATAAATATGCATGCACTTGCTGATAAGAATCTCAGGAGGAATATAAATATAGTATCAGCTTTCTTCCTCAAGGTAGATTTTGGTCTTGCATGAAATAGGCTAATAACATAAGGAAGCCTAATTCTGGCTTCGCTTGCTTCAACGCTGAACGTAAAAAGCTTGTCTCACTAATAGTTGGTCAACATCGCAAGTTAAGAGTCATGAATTGACTTACGGCCACTCTATAGCCAACTCTAGTCTAATTATTTTGGTTATAGAACCAGGATTTACATTTCAGCAGGCTTTGCTATTGCATTAGCAAGAATCATGCCTCAGATGCATTATTGCACTGTACTTGACCCCTTAAAGTACTTTATAAAGTTTATAACATTTCAAAAAAGAGGAATATGAGCAGGTGTTCAAAGTGAAAATTCAGATGTTCCTCTCTACAATTTGAAAATGATGTGCTAATTACCAGCTCTGCTCCCAGAAATAATAACATAATAAAGGTGTGTAGTTGCTGCAGTCCATAATTCCATATACTCACCTTTCTTCCTAAAACTCTCTGTTGATGAATCACCTGCCTGGAAGAGTATCTTTTACCCGGAAGAATACAATCATTGAATGATTCACCTAAAGGAACTTTTGAAGGTACTAAACATCCTATTTCCTGACCAAATGAAGGGCAATCCAACCAACCTGCAAGACGACGCAACCAGAATTTCAAAAGGAATACAGTGAACAACAATACATAAGGAAAATAAGGGTCGCATGGTAATACTTGTCAAATTGCCCACCCCCTCCCAAATGGGACCTTCAGAGACTGTCAATCAGGTAGTAACAAATTTCTAGTATCTGTTCGTCTGAGATATTATTTCTTTCTCCTATAATACAATGATATGACGAGCAAACAAACAACTACTTAACTGACCAAAAAATATCATCAAATACTTAAATTCGAGCATTTCATCCCCTTATAAGTTCATACCAGACTACTGACATGGTAAGATTCTAGGAAAACATTGTCAAATTCATCTTCAATGAATAAATTCTATTAGATTTCTCCACATTGCAAAAGAAAATGAATGCTCATCAAAAGATAAACCAACCCATGCCAAAATGGCCTAAACTTACCTGGAGGAAGTTTATTATGAGGTTTCTGTTTTTTAATTTGATACCCATCATCACGAAATGGTGGCTGAGATTGGTATGATAGCCTGTCAATGGGACGTTGTCTTTTTAGCCTCTGAATCCTCTCTTCACGTTCCTAATTCAAAACGTACCTCAAATATCTCATTAGCAGGTCAGAACGGTGACATCTCAGATAAAAAAAATATGGCCTGCAATTATCATGGTGCACAAACTCGTAACAATATACATGCTTTTGCAGAGTTATCTCCTTATTCTTATTTCCCTTCTTTTCAAGGGGATGTAATTGCAGAGGATGACTATAGTTAATTTTACGAATAATCCATTACTAAAGCATCAAATTTTGCAATACATTATGGAAAACCAACTTAAGGTTCCCCGCTGTACCAATTCAATAGGTTAGTGATGGAAACAGAGAGAGAAAAGAAGCAGAGTCCGAGTGGCTAACAGAGCCTAGCCTAGTCATCAGACAAGTGGAGTAACAATTTGCAAGCCTGAAATGATAGTTTTACAGTACATTAATCATCAGCTTCCAAGAACTCATTACCCCAAGCAAAAATAGCAGACCATAGGCTTGCAATGCATCAATCACCAATTGAATTATCTCCCAGAAGTTCTCTAGTACCTAACATTCTACCTTCTAAAGCATGAATTTATCCACCAGTTGACTAACACTCTGATATGCAAATACACTCATAAGCTCTAAAGAAGCACCAATCTGGAACATCATGTGGGAAGGATCAAATGATGTCTCTTCATTAAATCTTGAAAAGGAGCATATTTAAGTCAGAGAGAAGTACCCGGTGTGAAATCTCAACAGCAGACTCCCCGTGTTCTGAATGCTCATTGTATTCTATCTGTTCTTCTGGTGCATGATCTTCTTCGAAATTTGGTTGATAAAACACATCATCCTCTTCTGGTTCTGGGATGGCATTCAAATCCATGCTGGCAATCATTCAATTAACACCAAGAATCATTTGTTTAGATGCTACATCAAAATTTTATTCTTTTTACTTTCAATGACACCAATATGAACCTTATTACAGTAGTCAAACACAAATGAAAGTAAAGTTATGTCAAATAAGAGCTTCTCAGTGACAGAGTCAATACACCCAGAAATGTCATACCCTCCAAGAGACGCGAAGGAGAGAGAGAGAGAGAGAGAAAATAATTTATGGGGATAGGGAAGGGTAGACAGAATGTCATGCAATTGAACTGTTCCAGTTGGAAAAACACTACCATAGCAGGAGAGAAGTTTCCTAATTCCTCTTAGGTTATGCTTATAACTGACAATAATGAACCAATAATGAACTACGTGACCTACGTCAATATAAAGCAAGAAAATGGAACTGCAATAAATTATGATTTAAAATATTAACCTTGGATATCACAGTACCACAAGGCAAACGTAATTATGTTAAAAGATCGTCCTGTGAGAGCTAACTAAGAACATGAAAGTGATATTCAAATCTCAGAAACCAGAGAAAAACAAAAATTAAAATTGACAGCATTCATCCAGGGGGAGAAGGGGGGTCTCAAACCCAACTAGATAGCTTTTAACATTAATTGTCGTTTAACATTCCTACTCCCACTCCAAGACCTTACTAGCACTCAAGTTCTTGCTGATTCACAAGGGATTCCATGTTTTAAATGCTGGTGTAAGCTAATTGAAATTGGTATTCAATTGGAATAACAAAGACACCTCCTTGGATGCAAACATCTTTTGATAATCGTGCAGATAAAAGAAAAGCATATTTTCATGAATCAACCCAAGCAACTACAAAACAAATGATCTCAAGATCTGTCCTCTAGTCATTGAAGCAAATCTATAGTTCAAAGTTGAATCCTGTAACTTAGCTAAAGGAGTGTAGGGTCATATGGATATGCAGGAAGCTTTCCTTTGTAACCATAAAGTTGTCATCCGAATTTAAAAGGAATATGCATCTATGCAAAACTAACGTCTAATAATTGCAAACATGAGCTAACAAAGTGAAGTTTTATGTTCCTTGAGTCAACAAAAGCAAACTGGTATCACTACAACCCTTTTAAAATCCGAAAAGAATTGAAGGTAACAGGTACGTTCAAACTGTAAATGCACCAACCAATGCAGGAAGGATTCAGAGTCCAATCAAACATTTCCGGTTACTTTAGCCCAAAAATTTCTATTTCTTTTCCTTTTTCTTTTCTTTTTCCATTGTCAATTAATAAAAACAAAAACAAAGATAACCAAATTTTTATTTTAGTCAACAATTCCCTCTGCTCCCAGCACGAACCCCCCACTGAGAATTCCGCATTATTCATCTCCATTTAAGCGCTAAAATGCTGAGACTGTCCCACTCCCATAATATAAATCTTTTTAGTTTAAGTGGAACAAAATCAAGGATCCAAAACCTGTCATTTACTGAAAAGTTCATCTTTTTTCTTGTATACAAGCATGTGTAGTAGAAAGACCTGCAACCCAACATAACAAGTTCTTGTTCTAGCCATAAAAGGGCATGATCAACAATTTAAAATAAGGAAAAAAAAGTTCAAACCTGAAGCAACAAAAATGGCCGAAACTCGAGACAACCCCGCTGATAATTGTCGTTGAGACCTCGTAACCACCTCGATAAAACCCACGTCAAAAAAAAAAAAATCAAATAAAAACCCTCTTCATTCTAGTATGCACAACTTAAGACCCTAAAATTCAGCCCGAATGATATAATCCATGAGTAAAACTTCAACTCTGCCAAACCCTAGCGGAAGGGCTCCGCCTTCATGTAGAGAGAGAGAGAGAGATCGGAGAGATTTTATTTTTTATTTTTACTGTTCAATCCATCAAGAAGAGAAAATGAAATGAAAGAAAATGAATTTACTTATATTAGACAGAAATTATTGTTGTGTATGAATTGAAATGGAGTTTGAAGCCCTATTCGTGCGATTACAGCATTACGGGGGCCGCGGAGAGTGACAGAGGAGAGAGGGGGCAGTTTGGTAATTGGGGAGTAGTCGTAGATACTAGGAAAATTTATGCCATTCACTTTAATTTTAAGTGATTCTTTAATTCAAACTTTAATTACAATCATTTTATAAGATTTTCAATTTTTATTAATTTTTTAAATACACATTTCATCTACTGTTATCAAAATAGGATAAAATTGACAAGATGTTAAAAATTTTATCATAAATGTTGTCACGTGTACCCTAAAATTCTACAAATATATCTTTTTTAGCCTCCGTTTGACAACCTTTAAAAATTTAAGAGCTTGAGCACTATTTGGTAGAGATTATGAATATTGATTTTTTGATTGTTAAAGAGAAAATTGAGTTCCACTTATGAGTGAGAAAGTAAAAAATAATGAGTTGAATAGTGAAATAACGATCAAAATTTTGATTTTTTGAGATGAAAAATTGCTATCAAACGATGACTTTTCGATAGTGATTATGAGAATTAATTTTTTAAACGTTAGAGAAAAAAGTAAGTCCCACCTGAAAAATAAGAAATAAAAAATTACGGCTGACTTAGAGAAGTAACAGTCAAAAAATTGATTTTTTTAATTAAAAATCAGAACCAATTATGCACTAAATTGTTTGTTACAGTATCATTATCCATCACACATTCACATAATAAAATATTCTATATACAAACAAATAAAGCCCCCTTTTGATTCTCATTCTTTGACCACAAAAATGAAAAAATATGACCTTTATCCATCACATCAAGCCATTATATTTGACTTTCTATCTCTTTTGTGGGTTCCTAACGATTATATTTTTCATTCTCATTCTTACAAAAATTAGTACCAAACGGGGCCAAAGTTTCTTTACTTTTTAACCACGCATTATCTAAAAATACTATTCAAAACTCTTTAATTTTTTAAATAATGGGTGTCAAATACGACCTTAAAATACACACACATGTAGAACAAACACACAACTCCATTGACCAAAACACAAAAACAGCCATCGACCATTCCAACACCTCCAACGAGATGACAATCACTTCACCGACCACCATTACCAAGTACCACTATCTAGCAAAACTACCAACATTCCCAAATCATTCTACCGTATCAATACCGTTATTGGCAAGTCAAACACTTTTACCGTCGGTATTAGTTTGGCCCTCCAATCTTTAAAGATCCAATCCGTTAATGGAGGATGAACATGTAACATTAATGTGCATTGACCTTATGCCCCTGATTGAGCTCCATTTTTCTCATTATTTTGTCTACGATACTCATTTTTAACCATATATTATTTATTAAAATAATATTACAAGCTAATCAAAAAGAATTTCATTCTTTTTTAACGATACATTTTTCATACTATTCCATAATACATTATTAGAAATTAATGGGGCTCAAACACGACCTAAGTTGCACTTCTTCTAACTAATAACAACGTATTTCTCCTTTAAAATCTTTCCTCACACTACACTTTTTAACCTCTGTAGCACAAAAAGCCTTGGCAATCAATATCATCAGCTTTATCTCAACATACGTTGCTCTTCATTATTGCTGAGACTTCTACTCTTAGAGTCGGCTCTAGAAATAAAAATGGCAAAAAATTCGTCAAATCTGATACCCTCGGCCCAACTCTGAACAGGATGGGGCTTACCTGCTTAATCGGTATTGGGGTTGAGGGTGTGGATACGAGTAACAAGGACCTCGCCTAGGGGTGTCAATAGACTGAGCCGAGCCGGCCCATGAAAGCACGAGATCGGCTCGTCCAAAAATGGGTGGGCTCGTGGCTCGTGGGCCGAGCCAAGCACGGCTTGCGAGCATACGTCGTTTTTCATTTTTTTTTTTTTGGAAACAAATAGGTAAATTGGAAAATAAAAAAATAATTTTAATTTTTAAATCGTGAATTTTTTATATAAAAAATTTTTATATATAAAAAACTAGGTAAAAATTTTAAACTCTCTTCCTTTATCCGGGTTTGGGACCGGCTACTTAAATTTAGAGTAGGCGGAGTTAAAAATTGTGTTGTTTATTTGTTTGTTCGTATACAATATTTTAAAGAGAATTTAAAACAGTATTAAAAATCATTTTTTCAAGCAACACTATGCGTCCCCTTTCATATAATCTTTGAAGTAAATCCCTTTTAAAAATTGAAAAAGTAATCAAATGCCCTTTCAATTGTCAGAAATCTTCATTTCGAAAATTATATAGAAGTCTTCCACTTCGAAAATTATATATAATTTTTGAAATGAAAGAATTCTGACAATTGAAAGGGCAATCATTGTCCTTTCAATTTTCAGAAAGAATTTATTTCAAAAATTATATGTAAAGGTACGCACAACGTTGTTCGATAAAAGAATTTAAAATGTAGACATATAGTAGTAATAGTACTAACAAAAATTTAACTAAATTGGTAGAAATAAATTTTTTTCTTTTTTTTAACTAAAAGAGATAGAAAAAATAAAAATGAAATCTTTATTTTTTTATTTTTCTTTTTAAAATAGATAAAATATAAACCCTCATTCTTTATCCGAGTTTGGGACCGGCTACTTAAATTTTCAGTAAGTAGAGTTAAAAATTGTACACAAACAATTTTTTGTAGCGTGTACAATTTTTTAAAGAAAATTAAAAGTAACAATAAGAAAAGAAATGTTTCATCAATATAATTAAATCAAATATCACTTACTTGACGACATGCAATTTCGACATATTTATCTTGTAGTCAAAAATGAACGTCCTGCTAATCCTTAACGCACATTAACGCTTCTAAAATATCTTCTTTCAGTCGACTCTTGATCTCGCTCAAAACTTTTTTACCTGCACTAAAAGCAGACTCCGAAGTAACAGTGCTAACCGAAGGTGTCAGCAGATTTTTTGCAATCGCAGATATAACTGGCCAACGTCGTTCATACCTTCACCAAAATTCAATTATTTCGTTAGAACTTTTTTTAATTGGTTTATCTGTTGGCATATTCTAGTTGAAATAATCAATTAATTCAGCAGGCAATACATTATGGCTTGAGCCCGTAGATGTTTGATTAGAATGAGATACAGATGTACGCGACATGGCAGTAGATGAATACATTGCAGATGAATCATATCTATACGAATTAATGCCTTGAAATAAATTAAATATTTCCGCATCTTCTTATTCAATTTCAGCGGAAGAAGTAGGTGCAAATGGTACCCGACTAATATTGGTATCTATTCGGTTCGCATATAATTCATACATTTCACATAATGTTTGCCCTAAATTTCTATATGTGATAGGTGTATCAAATGTTAAGGCGTTTGAAAATTGATCAATTATATATTTAATTCCCGATAAATTATATCGTTGGTCCATCACGCATGCTAAAGGAAATAACATAGGCAAGTTTTCCCAGTATTTTTTAAATTTTAATTCCATAGCAATTATAATTTCACTAAAATCAGGGTCATTTTTGTATTTATGAAATGTTCTTACAATTATATAAAGACCTTCAAGCACCATACAGCTAATGAAATAGTAAACACCCGATAAAATCTTAGTCGTTTCATAAAAAGACGTCAAAAATCTTTTAATTTTCAAAGCTATTTGCCAATCACGTTCAGTCAACGTACCATCGTCATCACTTCTAACATGTCTATTGTTATAAAAGTCAGTTATTAAATGTTCAAAACCTTCACATGACTTTAATAACAAGTAAGTAGAGTTCCACATATGACTTACGTCGCTAACAAATGTTTTAGCATTTTGCATTCCTATTTCGACACAATAATCCTCAAATGCTTGTTTTCTACTTGGGGAGATTGTGATATATATTAGTGCGTTCCTAATATTTTGAAATTCATTCTTTATATATTTTAAACCATCATGGATAATTAAATTTAAAACATGACATACACAACGAATATGAAATAAATACCCACCAAAATCAGGTTGCAATACCCTATGTAATTTATCGACAAATACTTTATTAACACTAGCATTATCGAAAGTAAATGAACGAATTTTATTTTCGTAATGATATTCTCTAACAATACTAATAATAGCATTAAATATATTATTAGCGTTGTGAAGAAACTCAATAATTCTAAAAATAATAATTTTTTTATGCATGCACCAATATGGGTCAATATAATGTGCAGTTGCATCTATATATTCTCTTTTATTAATCCCTTCTCATATATCCGAAGTTAAAGATATGACACCCCCATATTTTTGCAAATTCATAATTAATTGTTGTTTTGTCTCAGTAAAATATTGTATTGTATCGAAATGAAGAGTGTTTCGACTTACCTCAACGTACCTTGACTGCAGAGATTTTTCTACATATGAGACGTAGTGTTGGTTGTCAATTAATGCAAAAGGCAACTTAGCACCAGCAATAAGCTTCACCATTCCGATTCGAATTCTCTCCTGTAAATACACCCATGTAGATAGGGGTGCAGCAGAACCACTAACGTCTGGACTGCCAAATTGTAATTGTGTTTGACAGCCTGGAATAAGTCCATGTTTGGCTGCACATACTTTGTAATGGCGATTGAGATTGATGGTACCAATTTCTCTTTGCCATGCCAATCTTTATTGGCAGTATTTACATACTACTTTGGATCTTGGAACTCCAATGACGATTTTTTCCTTTGAAATCAACTTAAAGTGATCCCAACATTTTGCCTGTTTTTTCCCCTTTCGCTTTCCCCTCGCATCATGAATGTTTAATTCAATCTCTTTTTCCTGATCGTATTTCGCTTCGGCAACGTCAATATTATCCAAATTAATTGGATAATTTGGATCGCCGTTTACATGATGATGAAAATCCAAATCTGGAATATATTCAGGTAGGGGTACGTCATTTAGACCTTCAAATTGATTTCGAAATTGACTTTGCTGTGTCATGGGCGATTCGTTTCCTCCCACACCGAACAAGTTTTCGACAAATGTACGTGAATCAATTTGTTTAATTGTAATAAGTAATAACTAGTAAAATAATAATTGTATAAATGTAGTGAGAAATGAAAATTGGATGGAATTTCAATAACTATAGTGAGAACTGAGAAATGAGAATTGGATATTGTATAAATTGTATATAAAAATTGCACAACACAAGAGAGTTGAGTGTTGAGGGTGAATTGTAGAAAAAATAGTGGCATTTTGAGAGTTGAGAAGGAATTGTAGAAAAAATAGTGGCTAAATGCCACTATTTATAGAAGGAAAAAAAAGTTAAAGGATCGAAACGGTCATTGAAAAAATTCAGTGACCGTTACTGGTCATAATTTTATTATAAAAAAAAAATTATTCAAGGACCAAAACGGTCACTGTTAAAAAAAGTGACTGAAACGGTCACTTTTTAACACGAGCCCCGCTCGTGGGCTCGTTTTCAACGAGCGGCTCCCGGGCTCGTCCACCAAACCGGCCCGCTCGGCTCGCGCTCGGGCTCGTATTTTTACGAGCCCGAGCCTCCCACGAGCTCCGTTTTCGCGAGCCGCCCGGTCCATTTGCCACCCCTACCTCGCCCCCGTTTAAACTTTTTTTTTTTTTTTTAAGAATTCAATACTTTAAATAGAAAATTATACGAGATTTCATTATTTCTAATAGAAGATGACAACTAAAATTATCTAAAAAATATGACAAACTATAAAGCCTTAATTTACCAAATTTATTTGAAAAAATTACTTTTTAAAAATAAATAAATTAATTAAAATTTAATAAAATATATTATTTTCTCATTTTAATGAATTGGACAATAAAATGAATTATAAAAAAAACTAAAAAAAAATTGATATTGATAAGACCTTACAACTAGGGCTATAAATGGATCGGATCTGCCCATATCTTATTTTATCCAATAATAATTATTATCCAATTTGATCCGATAATTTAACGAATATTTGATTGTTAAATTTATATCTGATTTGCTATGTTATCAAAATTAGCCAACTTCTAAGCCCTAAAATTAAAAGATTAATATAACTTTTTACCCAATTTTTGCTTCACCTATTTATAGATTGCAAATTGTGTGATATTTTGAACAATGAAAGTAACTCCAATGACTGGTCTCTCTGGTGATTTAATTTATAAAATAAAATAATTATATTTTAATTAATAACAAAAACTTTCCAAATATTTTAATTAAATTTATTATACTGTTATCTAATTTTATTCATTATTTAAAATTATGTGTAGAGTATACTACGAGTTTCAAAAAAAAAAAAATTATGTATAATACATTGTGCCGTAATATTAAAATATATTATATTATCATAATAAATTAGATCAGATTGATTTATATCTATATTTGTTTCAATTAGTTAACGAATTATCGAATTCAAATTTTAATTGAATTTTCGGATTGACACCCTAAATCCATCTCTCATTAGTTTCATTGAATTCAGATCAAATTTAATTCATTGGCAGTCTTGCTTACAGCTAGTTAAATTTTGACATTTCAGAAAAGTTAAATTTTAATTAGAATCAAATTGAACCATTGAGTTCGAGTGGTTGTGGAAAAATAGTAGAGATAATTTAATGAATGGTCACTAAACTTTACTATAAATCACTACTTACTCATTGATTTTTAAAAAAGCTACTACTTGCTCACTCAATTTTGATACACGTTATTACTTACTTATTGAATTTTAAAAAGTTACTCATTTTCACCTAAATTTGGATAAACTTACTTGTTGCTCATTAAATTTTGCAATAAGTAACACTTGTGAAAATGATATTGATGATTGATGTGTAACTTTGTTCAAATTTGAGTATAAGCGATCTTTTAAATTCTGATGAACAAGTAGTAATTTATAGTAAAATTTAATAATTAAAGAGCAGCGTTTTAAATTTGGGCAGAAAAATAGTTACCGCAAAAATAGTAATTTAAAATAGATTAATGCTATTTGTAGTCGTTCACTGTGGTAGTCGCTTTACGTGGCATACACATGGCAGGTGATTATTTGATGCATTAATGTGGTAGTTTTTTTATTTATTTATTAATGCATCAAATAACCACCTGCTATATGTATGCTACGTAGGGCAACTGTCGCAGTGAGCGACTGCAAATAGCATTATTTTTTAAAATAATATTTCGTCGCTAAAAACACATGGAACTGCCTCTCAGTACATAATCCAGTAGTGCAAAAGATAGGAGTGAGATAGTCTCAACCTTACTGATAGTTAAGAGTTTAATTCCTAAAATATGAAATTCAAACTCTTTGTGAATATCAGTATACGGACAAACTCTTATTCTCTAGTTTATTAAAACACATTCCGTAAATTCCCTCCCTCGCAATACTATCGGGTGATACGGTGAGGCCTCAATGTTCGGGTTTTTCAACCTTTTAAAAAACACATGGGATCATAAAAGAACACTAGAACGACGGCGTAGCTTAACAAAATCTCTGGTTCCGCCAAATTTTTAGAGAGAGAGAGAGAGTGAGAGGATAAATGGGAGGAGGTGGGACGAGCGATGGCGGCATGTTGTACCACGAGGTACAAGAGTCGAAATTGTGCGCGGTGCACTGCGTGAATACCGTATTGCAGGGTCCATTCTTCTCGGAATTCGATTTGGCGGCTATGGCCTCCGATCTCGACCGTACAGAGCGGCAGATGATGCTCGGTGCCGTCACTGGAGATTTCCTCCCTGAACAGTCACACAACGTTTCGCTTGATGGCGATTTCAGCATCCAGGTATATTATATTGCTGTTTCCCTGTCTTACTTTTTCTTCACGCCATTATAATTAATATTCAGTTTAGGTTCTGTTTGTACGTTACTTTTGGTGTAAATTTATATGGTTTCAATAATCAGTGCGTCCGCCTGTGTTTATGGAACAGGCAATACTGAATGGAAAGTTTTGGTTTTGTGCTGGGAAATTTCATTTTTTATAATTAAAATTCAGTTTTAGTTCTAGTTTTGTTTTATTTTAGTGTTATTCAGTTTGTATTGGGGGACCAAACAAGGGCTTAGTTGTAATTGTCATGTTTTACTGTTAAACAATCTATAAGATATACACACACATTGAGAACGACAATTGTTGCTTGTTTCCTAGTTTATTATTGGTTGAAGTATTACCCTATTAGGAGACACAAAATATAATTCATTAGTTGGTACCACCATATCCTTAAGAGTTTATTGTTCAATACAGTATATTGGATCACTTCATCTTAGAGTGCAATAAACTGGGGCAATTTCCTGTGAAGCGTGCATTTTATTTCTATCCTTCGCTCTGCACTAATAATTCCATGAAAAGTATGAAACATTTTCTTAAATCTCCTTTTTCCTTAAAACAAATCTAGTATCACTTGAAAATTTTAGTCTTCCCCATACAATGCAAATTGAGCTTAAGGGTTGAGATGTTTATGTTTTTTATGATCAGTTTCTATTTGCTTTTATTTGAAACAACTTCCAGGTTAATCACAAACATATCCTTTGAAATCATTTATCAGGCTGTGGCTATATTACCAGATATTAGTTGACATTTCTAAGTTTCCTTCACAATCAAACTGGCATGTACTCCCTCCCGCTCCAGTCCCTGCCATGCCATGTGGCCTTTCTGTGGCCTATGCCATGATGCACGGTGAAGCGAAAGTAGTTTATGAATATAGAGTCAATTGGTGTTGCTGAAGCTGCTTGATATTCTTATTAGTGTACTAACGGATTGCACAGAGAACTTGTTTAGTGAGGAAATATGAAGTTCTAACAATTTACTTTTGGCACCTTTCATATTAAAGCTTTTGTAGTGTTGGAGGGGGTGCCTGGGACCCTCAGAGCCATCTGTTTGTTCTTAGGTAAATTTAGCAAATATGTCTCTGGAGGACCTTTGGTAACTTTTAAGAATTTGGATTGCAGGTTTTGGAAAAGGCTTTGGAGGTGTGGGACTTGCAAGTCATTCCCCTTAACAGCCCTGTTGCAGAGCCTGCTCAGTTCGACCCAGAATTGGAGAGTGCATTTATTTGTCATTTGCGGGACCACTGGTTTTGTATAAGGAAAGTAAATGGAGAGTGGTATAATTTTGACAGCCTCTATGCAGCACCCGAGCACTTCTCCAAATTTTACCTTTCAGCCTACCTTGACTCTTTGAAAGGCTTTGGCTGGAGCATTTTCCTGGTGAAGGGAAATTTCCCGAAGGAGTGTCCCATCACATTCTCCGAAGCCTCCAATGGTTATGGGCAGTGGTTGTCACCTGAAGATGCCGAGAGGATTACCAAGTCTTGCAACTCGGCTTTGAGATCTCGTCCAGGAGCTAGTCAGTCTCAGCATCATTCCAATCCCCGTCTGCAGCATGTACAACCAGAAATATTGTCTGACAATGAAGATGAGGATTTAAAAGCTGCAATAGCTGCCAGCTTGATCGATTCAACTCAAGAAATCAAAACAGAGGCAAGTATCACAGAAAATGAAAATAAAAACAGCAATGAAGCAAAGGCATGACAGGAAGCATCTTTCAAGTTAATGTAGTCTGCTGTTCGATCATAGTTGTGTGCTTCCAGTCTTTAATCTTTATATTGTTAAACAAATATCTCCTGTTCAGTCTTATACAGTAAAAAAAATTATATGGAAAAAAGTAAGTCATGTACGACATTTTACGCCCTCCCAAATAATTTCTCTCAATCATGTATTGTTGGGTATTTTCTCTTTGGGATGTATGCTATTGAGAGCCTTGACAGTTGCTGTTCGTTCAATTTTTTTCTGAAAGGTATTCTCAATTTTCAATTATTACATAGAAAAGAGTTTTAGCCTCCGTTTGGCTCATATTCTTAGTAGATTTTGATGAGAATTGAAAAATATGTGCCAGAACATTGATAAAAGTTGTGTAATCCATGAAATGTGTGATCGAAAATGAATTTGGAGGAAAAATATGTTTTAGAAAATGGTTACTAAACAAACACTTAATTTCATCATTGGATACATTAGTCATTTACCATCTCATCTTATATACACATTCAAATTAAGGATTCGATGTTGTAAAGTTTTATTTTAATGGTTAAACCTACCTCGATCCTCTTTCTCTATTCTTGTTTGCAATGGATTATTGAAAGATGTATCTAATCATACAATGAAATGTCCAGGGCAAACAATACTTGAAATACTCGAAGTTTATAATACTGCATCGATTTATGTGACAATAGATCATTGTAATCGTCTAAGTGAAAGTGAGATTATCGACCACAAGAGAAGCTTCAATTGGATGTTCATATATACACACGTGATAAAATCGTTCACTTAAATCATGACACTTTATATCTCAAGTCACTCAAATCACTCGGTGTGTGTCTATGCAATATTGAGGTGTTTCATTTTAGATGACTCGATATTCAATTTATTGTGACTTGAACGGATGATTTGTGATTATAGAATTGTCATGCCGAAGCTCTTCTCCACTACTCGAAGAAAGAATTGAGACAACTGTGCGTGTAGTACACAAGAAAGCTTTTTGTTCTATCGATTTGAAAAAGAAAACCAGCTAGATAAGTATTTTCGTGCTTTTGGGCTGGAACTTGAGTAACTACCAACCAAACTTGTCAACATACATCCAATTAACTGTATATATGCACCCATACGAACAGATAAATAAATCATTACGAGGCCAAGTAAAATGGTGAATTCAAAGCTTTATACAATTCTTTTTTCTAATAAAAGTAAATGTAATCAAATCAATAGTGGGTTCTATTTGTCATTTAATTCTTGAAAATGGGCTCATCAGATCGGTTGTTTAACAGGCAGAGAACTATTCATCAGATCCTTGGAGGAGACCTAGGTAAGTCTGCACTTCTTTGATGCTTTTTCACAAACACTTTCTGATCATTGATTTTGAATATTTGCTATTTAATGTTCTGATCATTACTCTTCGATTGATTGGAAAAAAAATTTTGATTCATAAGTTCACAATATTGGGTTTGGTATTTATGGAAATGAGAAGTTGAATGTGTGTGTTGTGTTGGTGCAGTCGCAGATGTGATGCTATGGAGGCAAAAGAATTTAACAGTGGGAATATTAGTCGTAATTCTGGCCGCTTGGGTGGTTTTTGAGAGATCTGGTTATACTCTATTATCATTGACCTCAAGTGTTTTTTTTGCTCCTGTTTACCATTCCTTTTCTTTGGGCAAAATCAGCAGCTATTTTAAACAGGTGATGCACTTTTCCACAATTCTTCATAGCTATTCAAATCTGTTTTTATCATGGATTAGAATTTGCAGTATTTGAGCAATATTGAGATAATGAATTGGTTTGGCAATCTAAACACACCGAACAGTGCTCTCTGTGCAAGTTTCTTTTTTCCACTTTGAAACGAGAGAATGATAGCCCTGAGCTACCTTGGAACTGATGTGTATCACTTGATCGAACTTTTTTAGGCTTGATTGGCTTCACCTTCATCTTAATTGGGCAAATGCATGAATTACATACAAAAGATGCAACATCAGCATGAAATTCACATTCAAATATATAATTTTGTTGTTAATTGGAAACTATAAAAATGATAAACGGCCATGACATGTTTAATAGTTTGGTTTAGATAGGACAGAACCACGTTTATCGAGGCAGACAATAATGGTTGGTTTTGAAGAAGAAAAAAAGGCTAAATGTTGTGCATTGTACTGTACAGTATGTTCTAATACTGGGTATACAAAATATGCTCTTACTGCATCTTAGGTACAATAATTTCTTTTTTCATCATCAGTTCAAATGCATGCACAGGTTAAACATGATCAACTCTGAAGTCAGATATCGTTTCATCTAAAACTGAACTATGCAATCAAGATAAATCCATAACATTTCTATTCTAAGGAAATTGACTATGACGACAAATATCAGCAATTAAAATTTTATTCTTGTTTAATAATTCTGCATATGATCTGAAACAGACCTGCTCCAACTATACCACATTTACATATCTCAGAAGAAATCATGAATGATGCAGCTACTTTCATCCGCAATCTTATAAATGTTCTGCCCTGTGTGTCTGAGGATATCACACTTGGTAGGGACTTGAGAATGTTCGTGAAAGTAGCTCTAAGTCTGTTGCTGATCTGTGTCATTAGGAGCCTCAGTGATTTCCTCACATTGATCTACACCGGTAAGTTTATTTTCTTGTAATTCCCATTTACAATTATGAAGGTATCCCCTTCTCATCAGCCTTGCACAACTCGCATTTCCTCATCTTGCTTATCTCTGTACTTGGCAGGCCTTGTTATTCTTCTTACAGTTACAGCACTTTATGAAAGGTATGAAGACCATATTGATAGACATGCGCTAACAGGGTACAGGTGCTCACAGCATTTATACATGAATTTATCAGCAAGGTTCAAAAATGGATTTTGGAAAAGAAGAAATTAAGTTGATTCTTGATAATATATTTTCTTCAGTTTTACATTTCCTTTTGTTGGGGCCCTTGAATATGCTGTTTCTCTTAGGCACTTAACAGTGCTAGCTCTAAGATCATAAACATGCAGCGACATTAGTTAATTGTGTACGTGTTATTTGTCCAACTCTAAGCCGAGTTTTTTTCGATAATGTTAATTAGGCTTATGTATATCACCATTCTCGAATCACATATCCAACAAGATAGCCCTATTGCCATCACAATGGGGGAAGAATTTTGTGTAAATCCATATCAAGAAGTGAAACCCTTGTCTAAATCAAAATTCATTTTAGCATCTACAACATTAAGAAAAAAATGCAAGATACTATAATGGTAAAACCCCCATACTCCGTCCATAATCACCTTGGCCTACCAGAGGAGGTTCAAAAGGCTCAGCAGCAGGCCCCAAATTCCATGGCGGAGATAATTTCCTGTAAAATTCATGGCTCCAGCAGGGTCCTGCTGGAAACCTAGCAAAACCCTGTTTGGAACCAACCTTGTGTTGAATCTGGCCTCGCATATTGCAGGGAGTTCCGTATAATTGTTCTGTTCCAGTAGGTTCATAACAAAATCAAGGAGAAGCCATAACTGAATCGATTGGCATTAAATAATCAGAAGTTTGACGGGGATTTACTGGAAACGGATTTTCAAATATAATTCTTTGTTCCTAGGAGGAAAAAGCTAGCTGAGGAAACTGGTTCTGAAGTCCAGGCCTGTCAAGAATTTGGCTTAGTTAATATCAGGTTGTAGTTCTGATGTAAAATCTAGGATCTGTCCAGGAAAAGGTGGAACTGGCATGACAGGCCTTGGAGGTGGTTGTAATTTCATCTGATGAATCTTTTCATCCTCAATTTGTATCTTACCATTTAAATTCAATTATTTTACAAATTAAAGTTACTTATAATTTTAAAACACCATTTCTTCCAACAAGAACCATACATAGGAAAGAAAGTTTCTCCGATTGTTAAATTCTGGAGAAATGAGCTTAAACAATACATTGACACATGCAGAAAACTTAAAAAACATCGCTCCAACATCAGATATATCTTTCAGATACTGAATGAATTCTCTAACCAGAGGACAGAAAAAAGGAAGAACCAAAAGCAATCCTATATTGTCTTGTCTTGAGTTCACTGAAAAAACGGCAAGGTATCCCCTTTTGCTCCAAAGCTACTTCCCAGCCACCTCACTACAAAAGAAGATAAATACTATTACCATAGTATAATAATGCAAGACAAAACAAACGTAGAGACAATTGTTAAAAAATCAAATAACAACTATCTAATCTAAAAATCAATTGGTTTAAAATGAGGTTAGACTAAATCTTTCAAGGCCACGATCATATGAGACCAACCGATGGACTTAAGAGCAAACTTGTTGCTCACCAATGATATCTCCCACAACATGACACTGTTGTGACTTGAATTCATACAACCCTTAATTTTGAAGTCACTTGTTAGATTAAAGTTTTAATCATCTAAAAACCAGTTGGCGTCCAATTAGGCAAGACTAAACCTTTTTGGGCATTCAACACCATCAATTGAGAAACCTAACCCATTAGCATAAGAACAACCTTGTTACTTCCTAACAACAATAAAAAACAGCAGGACAATTCAAATAATTCACAGAAATGATACGGGTGTTGCGACGGCAGCACCTAATTGTGCATTTTTTGTGTTTGTTGTGCCAAAAATCAATGAAAGATCACCAAGTGTCCTTTTGTATGAATTTTGTCATACCCTTTCTTCTTCTTTTTGTGTGTGTGTGTGTCTAGCATAACTCGAGCATTGTTCAGTGATCTTTATGTGTGCTATGCTGGCAGCACTTGTATGGTCTTTTTTATTTTATTTTATTATTTTTTTGCAACATCCAATCAACTGTCGCCATGTCTGTAAAAAAAATAAAATCTTATCATTAAGCCTGTACAAATATAACAGTTCAAAACAACAAGCCATGTGATGTCATACCTTTTGTTGAACTTCTGATCTATACTTGACTTGAAGCAATTATTTAAAACTGATGATAAAGTTAAAGAAGCCTTCAACAGAGCAAGAGCCTGTTACAGAAGCATGAACTATCAATTTATGATACTGAGTATGAAGAGGAGAAAGAAATTGCTCTACAATCTCCAATACTACACGAAACAAAAAAATAATAAAAAAAAAACTAAAAAAATAAAAAATCTGACTCTAGAATTTACCTCAGTCTCGCCCATAGTTTCTTCCTGCTCTTCAATATCATTGAGAGGTACATTTAGTTCTTTTAGGAAGCTAATACTCGACGGAGAAGATAGTGGTGTCACTACCAAGTTATCTGACACTACAAACAAGTGTGGTGCTTCCATAAATCTACCAAAGCAATCAACTTTACCAGTTGGGCTCCTTGGGTCAAGAAGGTATAATATATTTTTAGCATCAGGAATTTGCAATGGATGATTTTTGCACTTGTATTGTTTCAGAACTCCAGCATTTATTATTTCACTCTTGGAAATAGCAAACCACTCCGAGTCCAAGCTCTCTACTGTTCTGTAGAAGTTATCAACACATCCTACTCTGGAGTTCAAGTCCAAAAGCTTTACCACTGATCCAAGCGGAATTGTACAAAAGCTGAAGAGAAAATCGATAAAATCTTCCCTTGCTACCAACCCCAATATCTTGTTTTGCGACTTGCTTAAAATTAACTTAACCCGGAATTCAGTATGATTTGGCGATGTTCGATTTTCACTGCTTGGTGTAGGTGAATTTCTTGGATCCATGGGTTTCGAAATATTTGCAAGTTTCCTTTTCCCCAAGAATACATCTGTCAGAGGAGTCTTTGATACCAAAGAATGCTTAAGCAACTTAGAAACCTTAAAGAACACAGCGAAAGAAAGACCAGTCACATAAGAATCCAACGGTATTAGAGAAAACCAGACTCAGGCTCAAAGACGTGTTCAAACAATATGATGAACATGAAAGTTAAATAAACAACTTCCATACGTCATAACACATATACACTTGCAAAAAGTTTATAAACAAACTGAGCTGCGTTATGACAAAAATATAGAAAGAAAGGTTACTTTTAGTTAATAGATTAGGCCCCTGTTTATTCTTCATTAAATTAAATTTCATTATATTCTATTCTATTTTTTTCTCATATTTTCAATCACACAATCTTTCTTAACATAATATTACACGTAAATCGAAAATTTTTTCTTCTTTTTCAATCACTCATTTTTTCTAACAAATAATATTTCCCCATTTACATTTTTATGTAATGGGCATAAAACAGGGGCTAAATTACCTCCTCTAATCCAACATCAACGGACAACTCCTCAACCTGATCAACATCGCTGAAACCCAAATTACATAGCAACTGCACCAGAGAAATTGGATTTCCAGGTAGCAACTGCAGATCATCTGTAATCACACACATGGTCATTCTTTTAACAAATTGTTCTTTATCCACGGGTTGAGACCCGCCCTCAGATATCTCTGTGTTGGCTATGCATCCACAAAAACACTTCGTGCGAGGATAATGACTCTTCCTACCGCAATAATGACAAGAAAAGCATTTCCCATTGCTTGTGTCATCGATATTCAGTTTAAGATTCTTGCAAACAAGAGCAAGAGGGTTTCTTGGGCTTAACAGTATTGATTTACATGTCACTGTGCAGAAATTGTCCGCACTAAGCTGTTCAATGCTTTGGTACAAGTTGTTCATGCAGCCAATGGAACCGGGATGGCTTTTCGTGACACGAACAACAGTTCCCAGTGGAAGTGTGAGGAAACTGAGCAAAACATTGACGAAATCACTAGTGGCTTCTGCGGCGAGGACTCGGGCTTTAGTCTCGTCTACCAGAAGTTTTAGTGGGATTGTGGGCTTGATGCTTTTCTCCTCGGTCGACATAGTTTGATGATGTAAAAGACTGAACTTAATCAAGGGAGGAAAGATAAACAGTTTTACTCTCGAAATAACTATTCGCCTGTTTGCTCAACCTTTTTACCCATTTTTATAGATTATTTGACTGTTGCAGTCCAATTTGAATTGATTCAAGATTCTGACATCCAAGGACGGTTGCACGTGAAAATTGAAGACTCCACTTTTATGTGACCCTTTTTAGACCGAAAGATGCTACAGAAATAGGTGGAAAAGGGGTTAAAAATAGGTTGACACGTGTCGATACATAATTGAAAAGTTAAAAAAATCAACAAATTGTTGACACATCACTCTATTTTTTCTTCCCTATTTTTCTCCGCAAGTCTGTTTATCATTCTTCTTTTAAACCAATCACTCATTAATGTCTCTTTACCTTTCTCCCCCAATTGGACCGACACCCATTTCCGTCAAGAATAATTCTTCTCAAATAGGGCACACGGGCCCCTTTCATCAATTCAATTGGGCCCAACTCCATATAAGTCATATTTTATATTTTATAATTATAATTTAACTTTTTTTGCTCATAAATAAAATTTAGTTAATATATTTTTATTTATAAGTTAGTTTTGAAGAAAAATATATTGCTTGGAGATAATTATTTTATAAATGGTAAAATTTGATGAGAATATGAGAGTCGGTCAAAACCCACCGATATGATGGGTTGAGAGAATCAGTTAAAATTATACTACATCGATTTTGTGTGGTTTTTAAACCACTTAAAAAAATAAATTAATAAGTACCAATTTTCCCCTCATAAACGGTACCATCGAAAACCGGTGAAATAAAACTCCCAAGCAGGCCTTAGGCATTAAGCAAAATTAATTAATAAAATAATAGAAAAATAGAAATAATGTTGAAGGCTTCCGCTGCCACAATAAGCCCCCATTATCTAAAAATTCGTTTTTCCTCAAACTCATTTTCAACCACATGTTCTTTCAATAAAATATTTTGCATTTAAGTTCAAAACTTTTTCCTACTTTTTAACTATACAATCTCCAAAAACTCACCATTACAACTCTTTTTTTTTTTTTTGTTAAAAATTGAGCTTAAATGAGGGTAAATAAAAAAGACAGTACTCCAACATCAAGTAACTCGCAATTTTGAAGTCTTATTAGAAGTGTTTTCTATCTTATAGCTACAAAGCCAGCATAATGTGTACAAATAGCCTACTTTCAAGATTCATGCATTGTCACTATAGAGAGGCAAAATGGATACCGAGATACCTAAAGAGTACAAAAGACTAGCATATGGTATTTATCTACTTCTAACTCAAAACTACTTGGATATTCAAACAGTGACTGGGCATGATCAGTAGACGATATGAGAAACGTATCAAGCTATGCATTCACACTAAATTTATGAATATTTTCCTAGGCATCAAAGAAACAAGCAACGGTTGCATAATCCCCAGCTAAAGTAGAGTACAAGCTATATGGTTAAATGCATACTTCAAGACGTGGATTGAAAAAAAAAAAAAAAATCTTTGTTTGTGTAATAATGATTTCAAACTATAAAGTTTAATGTAATTAGCGATTCTGCGAACAAAAAGGACTAAATTGAACATGTCAAAAGTTAAGGAGTTCAGTGCAATTTTGTATAGATGAGTGATTACGCCCAAAGAATAACGCGATAGTTGTAGCACAACTTTGAGATGTCGATTCCACAGGGAGATGGACGAATTATTTAAAGAATTTATCGAACTAGGATTTCATAAATTATGTGAAAATAATTTGTTGATTGGAATAATATTTAATTATCAGTATGCGAGATTAGTGAAGCGTCCGAATTATTTCAATTGGATTGGATCATCAATATCAATAATTCATGATTTTTTGCTCAATTAGAGGTTTTCATTCCAACTCTCTAATCGGAAGATTTAATGATAAAGATCAATCGAATTTCAATTGTAATCCTATGATCTAGACTTTTGTAAATCATTCCCATACATGTTTATTGGACTAAGATTAAGAATCGACCATATACACAACGCATAAGGCAGTAAATAATCCACCAATAAAATTGATTGAAATTGAAATTCAACAATTAGTTCAATTCTACAATAGAAAAAATATGATTGATTCTATGAAGAATCTAGTAAAAGTTAAATCAATTTCGAAACTAGCTCATAAAACGAGAAGCCTAGATCAATTTGTTTAACTTGTAATCCTAGAATTTAGACTTCCTAAAAACAAATTCCTCTTTGATTTATTGAAATACAATTTAAGAAACGATTATATACCTCAAGCATAAGACAGTAATCAAATCACATCAATAAATCAATTGAAGTTTAAATCCAACAAATATTTTCGTCATTCAATTGAAAAAACATAATTGAATCCATGAACAATTGAATAAAAGTTAAACAAACTTCAAAAGTATAATAAGGCAGAAATCTATATCTCAGAATTATTCGACAATGATAAGCACGTTACATGAATAAATGATGTGAAGTCGTCAAATCCAATGAGTTCCTTTGTAGCTTCATCTAGGAATTTATTTCTCCATCAAATTCTTTAGCCCAAGATGAGATAAAATTATTATGGAGGTGAAGAAAGGCGTGTTCTGTCCAATCTAGGACTTAAAACAATGTGCATAGTTGTTTCCAAAAGAAGTTGAATCGAATAAGGAAACTAATTTTTTGGCTAGAATATTCTGTGTGACTACTTTCATTATTTTGACCATAACTTTCTCTCTCGATATCCGATTAAGGTAATTCAAAGTGCGTCAGAAAGCTAACATGAAAGGCTACAATTTTATTAGAACTAGCTCTTTCCAAATTCGAACATTTATTATGTCAAAAGTTGATGGCTGAAAATCTGAAAAATCCTTATGCGGTTGTAATTTGATTTGTGAAAATATTATGGTCATATTTCACTTCGTTTGACTTCTAATTACACCCAGTGGACTCCTAGCTTTCTTTAATCATAATTCCATTGCCCGTCTCATCTTTATATTATTTGCAACTTGGTCCCTAAACTTTCACTTTCTTCTATGTTGGTCACTTCTTGCTCATTTCTTCTAAGTGCATTTTGGTATTAAATAATCACATGAATGCAATAATTAAGATGAGAAAATATTATATTTTACACTCTCATCACACCTCTCGACTTGCTTATTGCTAGTCCCTAAGAATTCAATGTGGAACAAACAAACGAATTATTAGATTGTGATACAAGTGAAATTATTAAGTTTCAACTTAACCGCAATTCATGTTCTTTTCAAACTCAACAGCTCAAGAACTTAACAATGTTATGATCATCAAGATATCAAAAACACTTGCCAAATGTGTGAGTGTGTGTCAAGCCATAGCCATCTTACCACCAACCCTAACACATGCAACATCGAGCGTGTCTCGAGCTAAAGGTCCAGCCTCATAACTCACAAGTATCAAAGTGTTTAGTACAGGGCCTCTCTTTATGGAGTTGGGAAAGATGTACACTCAGAATATGGATGCTTAAACATTTATGAATGAGCAACAAGCAAACATTGATCGCATGATAGGCATACTGTTAAATGAGAATTCATCAACTTCATTCCACAATTCTACTTGGGATCAAAACAGCCAATGCAAAATATTTGTAATGTGGCGCAAGTTGGATTATATGAAAAGATGGATATAAAGATCCAAACACTTCCAAGCGCATAGCTAAGTGTCGCATCAAGCCTTTCAATGTATTATATCAACACATTCTTCATTACTTTCAACCTCAAAAATCAATCTTTAATTTTTTTGTTGGAATAACCTTCCTTTCTTCTTCTTTTAACTTTTATCACTTCACTTAACCACTTATGAATTCTTGCATTTCCTTGCTTCTTTTCTTCACAATTAAACCTCCAATACCTACTATACACTTGAAAATTGAAACGATGGGCAAATATATGTATAGGTCTCACTCCATTGTGGAGGGATAGGGATAGCACGGGTGCATGAAGAAAAATGTTAAACATGTGTGTGTATTGACTCAAAATGACTACTTGGGGGTTATAATCATGAAAGAAAATTGGCTTGAAAGGTTAAAATTCAATCCTAAATTGACCGTTATCATTTCTCAAGTAATCAATTATCATACCACAAATCGTGTAACATTATTCTCAAAAGAGTTTCCAATTCACAAAACCAATAAACGCCTATTACCCTTGTAATGTAGTATTGCTCTCAATTCTCACCAACTCTCACATGAAAACTTCAATAAGAGACTCCTCTAACTAGATGTGTTGAATCACTATCTTACCACAAAGCTTGTGTGTAGAAAAGAGATTTCAGCAAGTGTCTCAACATCTAGACTCTCATAAACAACATTAACTCCCAATGGCATGTCTTGTCATTCAAAATCATGAACATGTAGCAAATAAGGAACTTAAAAAAACAAAATAAATTAGAACGGTCAACAAAATCTAAGCCAAAAACAACAAAATCTACGTGAAACTCTCTCCCCAACTAAATGTTGCATGGTCCTCAATGTAGAAATATGTCTGCTAAATCAAGATAAGGAAAGAAGTCACCTGAATACCAAAGTGAATCAATATAAGCTGAAGTAAAGAAGCATGAAAGTTCTCAATGGAAAGTGTAATACATAAAATGAAAATAAACTAGAATACAGTGAATAATACATGTGATGCAAATAAACCTAACAATTGAAAAGATAAGGTAAAAGAAGGGAAAAGAACTCTCCTTGGATTACCTCCCAAGCAGTGCCTTGTTTATTATCGTTGGCTTGCCCCAATGTTTGCTTCTTTCACCCGCATCCAACCAGGGCATTGTCAATCTTCCTTGCATTGCACTGAGTTCATTGGAGATAAGCACCGGTGATGCTCTATAATCCTACAAATCATCAAAAGCAGCACAGATATTAGCATATTCACCGTCATCATATCCTATCGAAATTTTAGAATTCGAAATGAAAGAGTTTAAAGGGTCGCGGTCAATAATCGCAGGTGCTTTCTCCTGAACGAGTGCATCAATCATGAATGTTTGATGACAATTGTCATCCTCCTCAGATTGCTTCATAATGTGAAAGATGTTGACATTCAGGGTCATGTTCCCAAATGATAGTTTCATTAGACAATTCTTGCAATTAATAAGAGCATTAGCCGTGGTAAGAAAATGTCTACCAAGAATTATGAGAATTTTGGAGTTAATCTTCACATCAATTTTTAGGTCCAAAATCAAGAAATCAACAGGGTAGTAAAATTTGTCAACTTGTATCAACACATCCTCAACTACTCTCCAGGCCTAATAGTGGACCGATCAGCCAATTATAAACTTACCGATGTAGATTTCATCTCTCCTAGCCCTAATGACAAGTGAATATCATAGAGTATGATGTTGACACTAGCCCCTTGATCAAGAAGGACTTGTGAAATCTCATGGTTCTTGATGATGCAAGAGACATTAGGACAACCAGGGTCCTTATACTTTGGTGGGATCTTTTGCTCAATTACAACACTCACATGTTCAGTCAAGAAAATAGTTTTCTTAAAATGTTGTTTCCTCTTCACAGTGCACAAGTCTTTTAGGACTTTAGCATATGTGTGAACTTGGGAGATCATATGTAGGAGAGGTAGATTGATTTTTATTTGTTTTAGATGCTCTAGGATTTCAATATGTTGGCCGACAGATTTTGAGGTAGACTTGAGAGCTTGAGGGAAAGGCACTCTAGATATATTTTTCACTACCTCCTCACTAGGGGTACTCTCTTCTGAATTGCTAGGGTCCTTTTCATCTTCCCTAGGTTTGGAGATTGGTTCAAGAACATTACCGAATTGAGTGATTATTGCATTAACTTCCTTAAGAATGATTTCTCCTAAGCCCGAGGTTTGTGCCATATGTTGTCCTCTAGGGTTCAATTGAGCTTACGCTAGAAATTTTTCCCGCTCCCCTACAGCTAAGGCATTGGTCAACTTAGACATATGACTCATCATCTCTTTGTTTTCCTCAACAATATGGGTGATCATAGTCTCAAACTTCTGATTAGTTTTACTTTGTGCCACTATAAATGCATGTAGAGTATCTTCTAAGGAATTCCTAGAGGATGTGGTTTGACGTGGGGTTGCATTGTAAGCTCTATTAGATTGGACAGGTTGTTGGTTTTCAGACTTCCAGTTAAAGTTGGGGTGATTCTGCCACCCTGAGTTGTAAGTCTCGGGGTAAGGAGTATAAGGTTTTTGATATACGCCTAGAGCATTACAGTATTTCTCATAAAGTCCCCTCATCTCGGCATAAGTGGCACACTCCTGTGCTGGGTGATCACTCCCTCCACATACAAAACAAGGCTTTAAAGACTCAACACGGGAAATAGATCAAGTGGTTTTTAAATCCTTAGCACACAGGTTTTCAAGTTCTCTAGTGAAGGTTTCTACCTTTGCTCTAAGGTTATCTTCCTCCCTAAGATGATAAATATCTGTGCTACTCGGGTTTCCAATGGGTCGTGACATATTAGTACTCTCAGTGGCACTAGGTCCAGTCCAGGTATGGGCTTTCTCAACTAAGTCATCTAAGTAGTCTATAGCCCCATCTGGATCTTTTTGCAAAAATTCACCATTACACATCATTTCAACAAATTGACGCTCCCTAGGTAATAATCCCTCATAAAAATAACTCACAATGCGCCAGCTTTCATCACCGTGGTGGGGTACAGGGATTGCAATTATTTGTACATTTCTCATGCTTGATATAAAGTTTCACTCTCCTTTTGAGTAAAAGAAGAGATTTGCTTTTTCAATGCAGTTGTTTTGTAGTGGAGAAAGTACTTGCCAAAGAATGCTTGGGTCATTACAACCCAAGTCCTAATCAAACGTGGTCGCAATGAATACAGCCAGCTCTTTGCTCTTTCTTTAAGAGAAAATGAAAAAAATTAAAGCCTGACTGTATCCATTGTACCACGTTGATTGTGGAAAGTTACAACCACCTCTTCAAATTTCCTAATATGCACGTATGAATTTTCATTTTCAAGACCGTGAAAGGTGGAAAAAAGTTGGATCATTCTCGATTTAAGGTCCATACGTGGCATATTTGGTGAAAATATAATGCATGATGGTGTGGATGTGCGTTTGAGGTAAAGATAATCATGCAAAGTTCTAGTTGGTGCCTCTTTGTGTTCACTATCTGTCATTGTGTTATGTGATGTGATGTGTGTACCAATAGATTTAGTATTAAAGAGAGGGTTAGGAAGAGATTCAAACATTAGTTGCGGCCTTGCAATGAATCGTCCCCCCTCGTCTCGATCTCTGTTCATAAAGCACCAAAAAAATATGGAATTTTGAGAGAAATAACAGAAAACTAATAAAATTAAACTAACTAAAAAAAATCTAAAAGAGGAATGAAATCACCCTTTTGCTAAAAAATCCTTGAATTATTTGTACCGTTTCCTCGGCAACGGCACAAAAATTTGATTATGCCCAAAGAATAACGCGGTAGTTATAGCACAGCTTTGGGGTGTTGATTCCACAGGGAGATGGACGAATTGTTTAAAGGATTTATTGAACTAGGATTTCGTGAATTATGTAAAAATAAATTTTCAAATGGAATGAGATTTAATTATCAATATGCAAGATTAGTGAAGCATCCGAATTTCTTCAATTGGATTGGATCATTAACATCAATAATTCATGATTTTTTGCTCAATTAGAGGTTTTCATCCCAACTCTCTAATCGAAAGATTTAACAATGAAGATCAATCAAATTTCAATTGTAATCCTAGGATCTAGACTTTTGTAAACCATTCTCACACATGTTTATTGGATTAAGATTAAGAATCGATCATATACACAATGCATAAGGCAGTAAATAATCTACCAATGAAGTTGATTAAAATTGAAATTCAACAACTAGTTCAATTGCACAATAGAAAAACATGATTGAATCTATGAAGAATCTAGTAAAAGTTAAATCAATTTCAAAACTAGCTCATAAAACGAGTAACCTAGATTAATTTGTTTCACTTGTAATTCTAGAATTTAGATTTCCTAAAAACAAATTCCTCTTTGATTTATTGAAATACGATTCAAGAAACGATTATATACTTCAAGCATAAAACAATAATCAAATCACATCAATAAATCAATTGAAATTTAAATCCAACAAATATTTTCGTCATTCAATGAAAAAAACATAATTGAATCCATGAACAATTTAATAAAAGTTAAACAAACTTCAAAAGTATAATAAGGTATAAATCTATATCCCAGAATTATTCGACAATGATAAGCATATTATATGAATAAATGATGTGAAGTCGTCAAATCCAATGAGTTCCTTCGTAGCTTCACTTAGAAATTTAGTTCTCCATCGAATTCTTTAGCCCACGATGAGATAAAATTGTTATGGAGGTGAAGAGAGGCATGTTTTGTCCAATCTAGGGTTTAAAACCATGTGCCAAGTTGTTTCCAAAAGAGGTTGAACCCAATAAGGAAACTAAATTTTTGGCTAGAATATTCTGTGTAACTACTTTCAGTATTTTGATCATAACATTCTCCCCCAATATCTGATTAAGGCAATTCAAAGTGAGCTAGAAAGCTAACATGAAGGGATACAATTTTTCTAGAAATAGCTCTTTCCAAATTCGAACGTTTACTAGGTCAAAAGTTGATCTCAATCTCTGGTTGAAAATCTGAAAAATCCTTATGTGGTTGTAATTTGATTTGTGAAAATATTATGGTCATATTTAACTTCTTTTGACTTCTAATAGCATCCAATGGACTCCTAGCTTTCTCGAATCATCATTCCATCGCCCGTCTCATCTTTAGATTATTTGTAACTTGGTCTCTAAACTTCCACTTTCTTCCATTTTGGTAATTTCTCGCTATTTTCTTCTAAATTTCATCTTTTCTACCAAAATGCAACATGAATCAAAACATAAGTACAATGAGTGTATTTTGGTATTAAATAATCACAAAAATGCAATAATTAAGATGGGAAAATATAATATTTTACACTCTTATCAATGAGTTAGGTAGGTTAGGTTTTGAGCTATGAATAAGGAAAGAAAGGTCACTGCAATTTCACTCGCCTCTCGCCAAAACATTGCTCGAGCAACAAAACAGAATGCTCATCATTCTCTTATCACTCAGACTTCGCTCGAACGACAAACCCTTCACTCGCTTATCGCTTTCCCTTCGCTCGAGCGACAATGATACGTAGGAAAATGACCCATATTACCTAAACACCTCAAATTATAAATACCTAAGCCTTGTACGATTTTCGGTATGGTTGTTTATTGTGTCTCTCATTGATAATACATTCATATCATCTTGTGAAGATCCAAGAACATATTCAACCCTTGATTCAATCCATTTTTTCTTGAGATCATACAACCATAGATTTGGGAAAACTATCAAGATTCCAGAATCTAAAACACACACTTCCTTTGTACAACAAGAAATGTACTTTCTCAATTAGAACTTCAGAGGATGCTGAAAATTGGAGAAGGTTGGACTTCAAGCACGGAAAGAAGAACAAGAATTGGTAATTCTTGGGTATCCACTTGGAAGAGACAATTGTAGAAGATCGGGAAGCTGGTGGGGTCAGTAGATTTTGGAGATTGCAGGAAGTAGATTGAAAAGTTTAGTAGAGTTGGCTAGGCAACATCTAACTATAATATTCGTTGTCTACTGTGGAGGTAACTAGCTTGATCCCTAAATTTTTAATCAGTTGGGTTTATCAGTCAACAATTACTATGTTCTTTACTACTTTCGTACTACAAATTGCAGCATTCAAAACAAATGACAAATTAGACTTGTATGTTTAACCATCTAGAAACTATTAAAAAGTAATTTGTTGCTTTTAATAAAGTAATTCCGCACGTAAATTCAAACTAATCTATAATATTCTAGAAGATTCGACGACTGTCAAGTTGTATCTAGAGCTTTTCAAGTGGTATTAGAGCCTAATCTCATGTCCTGACCTTAATTTGTCTAGATGAGTAGTTCATTGACTGTCCCGTCCTATTTTGACGGTAGTAATTATATGTATTGGAAAGTTAGGATGAGAGCTTTCCTTAAATTTATGGATGAATGGATTTGGTTAAATGTAGTGAATGGTTGGAGGCCCCCAAGTTCCACGGCTGATAATGTAATGATCCCACTCCCATTGCTAATTGGACTAAAACCAACTTAGATGAGTGTAACTGAAACAGTAAAGCCTCAGATGCTTTGTTTATGTCTATTTCTCCTAAAGAGTTTATGCATGTGTCCATGTGTGAGGTAGCTAAAGAGGATTGGGATATTTTCCAGGCCACACATGAGGGAACTCAGGATGATAAAAATTCTAAATTGTAGATGCTGACCACTGGGTTTAAGGAGATTAGAATGAGAGATGATGAGACCCTTCTTGTCTTTTATGCAAGCCTAAATGACATAGTAAATTCTAGTTTCAACTTAGGTGAGAAAATTTTGGAGTCTAAGATAGTCAGAAAAATCCTAAGATTCTTAACTGAGTGATTTAAGCCTATAATCACGATGATAGAGGGGTGTAAGAATATAGATTCTATTAAGGTTGAAAAGATAGTAGGAACTATCAAGACTTATGAGCTAACCTTAGCTAAACCTCTAAAAGAAAAGCATTTGGCCTTGAACATTGTGAGGACTAATCAGAATGAAACTTCTGATTCAGATTCACCAAATGAAGAGGAGTTAGCTTATCTTGCTAAAAAATTCCGAAAAATGTTTAAGAATAAAAAGAACTTTAGAAAAGACACAGATGTGCCCAAGTGAATTTAGAAGAAGATCTAAATATGTGAGATGCCACAAGTGTCAAAGCTTTGGCTATATGAGGAGTGAATGCCCTATCGGTAGTAGAAATTAGGATAAGGCCATGAATGTTACTCTCA